CATTTTTTATTGGCAACTAAACTTCTTGGTTATAAATTTTTTTTCAAAAATTGTGGATAACCCTATTTTTTATATATAAAAAATTTGTTTTGTATATTCCAAGTTTTACCCTAATTAAATTTTGTTTTATTTTTTTATAATTAATATATATTTTGAATTCCTTAAGCTTATGCCATTGCCTTTGGTACTATCCGCTTTGTGCTTTCTTTGATGTTATTACTGCTTAAGCTTTTTAATAATGATAGGTAAACTTACGGAATAAGTTTTATAATTTCTTTTTGCTTAATAGAAAATTTTAATTTTTGTTTGTAATACACAAAAGTAAAATTAATTAATGTTTTTATTTTAACCTTTATGGCGATAGAGAGTCTTTTTTACCCTTCAAAAAACACGTTTTTTTGATTTAACTGAATTTCTTTAAACTTTTTTCAGGATTTTTAGTTTTATGGTTGGTTATTGGGGCGGAAACCGCAACATTTCGAAGAACCATTACACTTAATCAGTAAAGGCTGCTCTAGCGATGGACCTCGTTTTTGAGCTCACTCTTTCCCTTATCACTATGAGATTTCTAGATTATTTTTATAATTAGTAGATTTCCTGTTATAATTTTTTATATTCTTTTTTTAAATTTTTATATAATTTATTTTGATTTTGTTCATATTACTGAACTTCTATTATCTTTTAAACTAATTTTTATATACTTTTTTAAAATAATTTAATGTTTCATTATTTATTTATAAATAGAATCTAAATTTGTTGACTAACTTTTTTAATTTTTTTGGTTATTCCCTTTTTTAGTACGAATTTTAGTACGTTTTTGCTTACAATCTTCTTATATTCACTCAACTTTTCTTTTTTATTTTAAACCTTTAAAAGTCGATTTTTTAAGGCTTATTTTTATAAGTAAAGTAACTCAATTAATATTTTTAAAGATCTTTATTTACTTTATAAAATTATTTTTTTTTTTACTTTTTATGTTTTTTAGTTTATGACTAATATTTTTTATAAGTCAATAATAAATTATTTTTAAATATTTTAAAATTTTTTTAATTACTTTTTATTTTTTTAATTTCAATGTTATTAAATCTTATTCCTTTGCTTTATTTTTCGTTTCTTACGGATTTTTAATTTTTTTTTTAAATTTTTGTAGCTCAAAGAAGTTTTAGCCTTCTTCATCTTAAACTTTTATTATATTAAATTTTTATATTTTTTATAAAAAATTTTATTTAAAGAAGAACAAATTTTATTTCTTTTTTTTTTATTCTTTTTAAAATATAACTAATTGGAAGCCTGTTCCCGAATTATTTATTAATTATTTTTTAATAGTATTTTTTGTGGTCGCAGTCATAGATTCATAAAAAGTTGTTTATAATTTTTAGCTTTAATGGAATTTAATTGGATTAATTATATTTTTTATTAAAATAAATCTAATTTGGTCTAGGAGAAATTACTAATAATTTGTTATTTTTTGTTAAGATTTTTTTTAAAATACTAATTTTTTGTATCAAATTTTTTTTAAGTAGCTTTGCATTAGCTTTTGGATTTTAATTTTTTAACTTTTTTTTATAGTAAATTTAAAAAATAATTTAATTAATTATAAAGAAGTAATTCTGGTAGTACTTTTAATTATAAATTATTTTAACACTTTTTTGTCTCCATTTTATTATTTTAGTTTTAAAATTGCAAAAGAGATATACTTTTACTTTTAAAAATTATAATTTGTGCAGTTAGAGTGAGTATTGATATCAATTTAAAAACTGTCGAGACCGGATAAAGGCAAGGGCGCATCCGAAATTAAACTTGATATAGCTTAGCTTTCGTGCTCGTTAAGAAAAATTCTTAGTTTAGTTTATCTCCTCAATGCCGACACTATTAATTTAAACCAAAGAAGCTCTTCAATGAAGCTTTTAAGCCTCCGCTGAGAAGCTCCACCTGGCAAAGTGTTCACTTTTGTAAAACAGTCTACAAAAATGAAGAACAGCTTATATGGTAGATCATCGGGGTGAGCGTGAGCCGCTGTTCAACCCTTTTTCTTCATAATTAATGATTTTTGCGGAATTCTCGGAAGTCGAGAGCAGACCGTTTAATTAATTTAGGGGATGTTAGACACCCGTACATCTCCAGGAGGAATATCATGAATGTTCCGATTTTCTAGGGGGAAGAGCAGTACGTGGTTAGACTTCTGGTCACCAACCGCAGTCCTAACGAAGTTCCCGAGGCATTGACTCTTAGATCGGACAAGCTGAAATGCTTTTCGCCAGTGCACTCCCTGCATTTCCCCTCAAAAAAGCATCTTGTTTTATATCTTTAATGATCACCAAGGTTCAATAATACCACATTTGATGGTAAATAACAATTAAAGAAAAGAAATTTGTACCTAATTTCGACTAATATAGAAAGAATTTAACGAACTTTATAGAACTGAAAAATATTTAAATGTCTTTAAAAAGTTAAGTTTGTTATGTTTTGCAGATTTCCTCGTTAAGTTTTAAACTCACTTATGTAAATATTAATTTCAGTTTTGTTAAACATGCAAGGCATAAATTCTTTTTTTGGATAAAATAATAAAAAGATTTTTTTATAATGTTAAAAAAAAATTGAGCAAATTTTTACATTCGTGCTTTAATAGGTAGTTTATTAATATTTTACTCCTAATTTTTTGGTCAAGTTTTTATTAAACTGTGGATATGCTTAAATTCGCAAGTAAATTTTTTTCAGGGTTACTTTTTTTTACTTAAAAGGTAAGTAGGTTACTTAGAAGGCTTCATTAATGTTTTATTTTTGATTCTACAACTGCAAGACTATTGTTCTATGTTATAAATACTTAGGCTTTTGGGGATTCACAGTATTGTTCTTTAAAAAAAATTTATTTAAATTTTTATGTTAACTAAAGTCATTACTTATGTTAACTAAGTCATTCCTTAAATTTTAGATCTTTAGGTTTGTTTTGTTTCATTCATATTCTAAGTAGGGTACATACTAAACTTCACCAAGCATGTTTAACTTTTTAAAATTAAAAGAATTTATATTTATTAAAATATTGTATAAACAATTCTTTATTTAATAATTACTCTGGATATAGTAAGTTAACTAAAGTTGTTTTTGTGTCCTTGGATCTTTTCTATCAGAGGGTTTGCATCACTTCAAAAGAGCGCTAAGTAAAATCCGCTTTATATTTCACTATTCAGGTTTACTTTTTAGTAAAAAGGATGTATGGTGTTAACTTTGTCAAAGTATTAAAAAAAAACTTAGTAATTGTTATGTAAAAATTTCTAAGATTAAAATTATTATATTTTTTAATAATTATCTTAAGTTATAATGCGCCGAAATATCCACCTTGACTGAAACCCCTGCTTAGTTCAAATCTTTGATTTTTTCTGTTTACTCGAAATTTAAAGTTTTTATTAGCTTTTCTATTCAGGTTTAACTTCATCTAGTACACTACACCAAAACCTTGAGTCTTTATCCTCTCGGGTTTAAAGAAAGCTTTACTTTTTTATTTATTTTAAATTTTTAAAAGGTTCTTAGCCCTCTCCTCTGGGATCTATATTGTATATTATAAAGTTAATTTTTTTAATTATCTTAACAGATTTAATTCGAAAAACTAAAATTTCTTGTCCGAAACTTTTTTAAAATATAATAATGTTTTTTCTTCGCTACCAAACTATACAAAGAATTATTTAAGTAATTTTGTGTTCACTATATAATTTATAGTTAAGTTAATATTTTTTATAGTAGTAAATAGTTTTGAAGCCAATTCTATCGTGACATTAATTGCGCAAAAGGCTTAGTTTTTCTAATTTTTTTTAGTTAGAAATTAATATTTTTTGTTCTAATAATAGTAAAAGGTTTTCCTTAAGTATTACATAAATGAATTGTTTCGTTAATAAACTTTTAAATCATGTTTAATATTACAGAAATATTATTTACGCTAATTTTTTCCTGAAGGTAATTATTTTTAATACTAACTATTATTCTGCAGCCTAAATCTCACTTTAGCCAAGTTAAGTAATCTAAATCCTATTTAAACTGTAATTTTCTCAAGTTTTTGTTATATAGTAAATAATTTGAAGGTTAAGTTTATTTGACATTCTATTATTATTTTTTTAAAAACTTTTTCACAAATATTATAAATACGGGATTTTTAGAAAGAAAATTGCTATATTTATTACTTAATGCACTTCGTTGAACACGATTTAATAAAAATTTATATAAAGTTTTATTAAAACTACTACTTTTCTTTTGGTCACTTTTGAATAGTTTTTGTCTTCTTCCATGTTTATCTTATTAATAGACATACTTATAGTCATTATTAGTATTACTGATTTTGCTTTTACTTTCTCATTTTTAAAAGAATGCTGATATATTAAGTTTAAATTTAAAAACATGTTTATAAAAAATTTATTTTTAACTTAGCTTATCTACTGCGTACACTCAATACCCGTGCTGTTGACTTGAAAAAGTACTTGTTACAGTTCAAAAATTTAAATCCTCTTCTTTGAGATTATCTAATAATTTTTTTGAGTTTTTTTTTACGAGAAAAGATCACTATTTTAATTTATTAACGGTACGCTTAGCAATATTCATTGTGCTTATATATACTACTCAGTAAATCTTTTCACCTAAATAATACCAACAAACACCCGATCGTGCAATGCTATATAGTTATATTAAATGTTTTTTCTAAATACCTTTTAACAAAAAATTAAGATTTTTTAAAATACCAATAATGTAAGTTAAAGTTAAAATGAAGTTAATAAAAAAAATTGTCAGGTTGAATAGAAATTTTAATAACTTTCATCTTTCTGTTTTACAAGGTATGAAAAGTTAACCGCAATAAAATCAATTTTATATAGTGAAAATTAGTAGAAGAGCGAGTTATTATAGTTGTTTTTGCTAATAACTTTATACAAAGTCTATAGAAATTAAATAACTATATAAAAAAAAAAAACTATATAAAAAAATAAAAAAAAGTAAAGCGTTTTTTTATTATTATTGTTTCTCTACGTTGAATTCGTTGTTGCACTAAACAACGTTTAAGGTAGGATGCCATTGACCTTGAACGGAAAAAACGTTTCGCGTTTGTCTAAAAGGAAAAAAAAATTAAAAAAATTTATTAAATAACCACAATATGTATAAAATTTAATGGTTAAATTTTATAACAACCTGTATTAAACAAAACAATTTACTTTTAAAATAAAATATTTAAAATAGCATACTTCGGTTTGGTGTAAGGCTGGTAGAGCAGCCCGCTGGAGTTCCGAAGGAGCATAATTTGCTTCTCGACTTTTTCCATTGTCATGTTACTCAATGAAGTTGGTTTCTTTCTCCCGCAAACTAAAGTAAACGTTTGCTTATAAAAATAGTAACCCTTAAGAGAAAGAAAAATATGTACTATATTCTGCTACTGCGTAAGGATGATTTTTAATTCTTACTTCTATGGAAATTTGTGGATTCTTATTTGCGAATGCCACAATCTTTGAATTAATAAACTCCCTACATAAAGTAAGAAAATAAACTAAGAGGTATAACTATTCCATATTAAAACCTTGTTCCTAAACTACTGTCGCTTTTAGGAGAATAGTAGATAGTTAGTTTAACACATTGAGAAATATATTTATTAACAGCCTGAAACGCACCTTCAAGGCCAACAAAGCCCTGAACTTTAAAAATGGTGAACCCACTGAAGCTCATATTTTACTAGGCCCATAGTTAGTAGTAAAGAGACTTCCATTAAAAACTTTATTATTATTTATATTTGGCATTTCCTGGCGATCGATCTTAACAAGTTCGAATACACGAGCTTTTAAACAGGTTTTTAGTTGTCCACGAGTACAAGTAAAATTCTTATCTTAAAATGTTTCACGTTCAACTTAGACCCCCCAATTTTGCCTTTAACCCTTATGCTAAAAGTGCACCGCCCACAACTTGTAAGTGAGTTCATCCGCTAAAAGGCGCTCAGCTTGTCCAGCTATCCGTTCATAGAGGGCCAAATACCACTTAATAAAATCAAGATACTGATCAAATGACTTTTGGGTCAAATGACTTTTGGGCTAATCGGCTAGTCTTTGAAGCTGGAGTAAACCTTCTTACTATTAAAAGAGTTAGTGCTCAGGCTTTGCATACTTTTAAAGATCTACTTGTGATTAAGCGATACTCAAAAACATTAAAAAATAACAATCACCTTGTCGTTTGGTTTTAATAACTATGATGTTTTACTTAGCTAGCCAAAATTAACGACTAAAATCTAAAACAACTTGGCATTATTTCGAAGGATTGTGGTTAGCAGCTCAATTTGTAGTTCGTGGTGAAGTGTATTACGCCGCACAAAAGGCAAGTTTGTTAAAAGCGTAGCAGTTTTTTTTGTCGCACTTGAAGCAGGGACCTTGATGCCGATAAATCGTAGGCCCAGGCTAAAGATGCATATGTCATAACCGGCCCCAATGCACAGCACATAAATCCTTTGCTCAATCAGCAACGAAAGTTTACTTCTGCTGCATAATAGAGAATATAGCATCTGGGTCGCTTCCTTGGACCTTCGCCGTCACTAATCTACGTGTTGACGCCACGAGAGCTTAGAATCTATAATGACTCCCAGATATTTTACCTGAGAACAACACGGAATTTCCTTGCCTTTAAGTTAAGGGAGTCGGAAGTGCATGGCGATTCTTCGTTATAAGAAGCGCCCTGCTCTTTGCTGCATTAATGAAGAGGCCCTATTGATGATACCAGCTAGCAAGCGCGTCGAGGTGAAATTGTAAGTGCTGATAAAGTAAACGGGGAGACTTTGACGAAGAATAAATCATCGAGTCATCGGCGAAATTGGCGACCCGCGTGTGAGGGTGAAGTGCGTTACTCATTTTTGAAGGTGTTGTTGCAAACTCCAATGCTTCAAAGTAGCTTGTTAGGTCATACTTGCAGTGCTGTTCCAGGATGCCTACAGAGGTAAGGTGTAGGTGTAGTCACTATAAGTCATATATAACACGATAGCTTTTTGTTACAGGTGTTTATATTATTTTTCATAAAGGATTCCAATAGCTTCGGTGTGCATAGAGTGTTCGGGCGCTTTATTATCAGTGTTTGACTTATAACATTGTAAACTACGCCCGAAGTGCCTCGCGTCAACTTATCCTTGCCTTCCACTATATCCCAGGTTAGTGTAGCGTACCGAAAGTCTTTTCGTAAGGTAGAAAACACTAAGAACTGTGGCGATGCCCGTTAAATAATAGGGAAGGCGGAGTTTGAAAAGGAATTTTGGTAAAAGGCGATTGAAATGCACTTCCAGTGTATCTTTTTCTCTTTGAATTTTAAGTGAACGTTAAGGTTCCGTTTAATAACTTCAAGCACGATTTTAAACCTTATAATTGAAAAAAAAAAGAGCGCAAGTTATAAGTCAAATTAGTAACTTAACCTTTTTTGGTATTATAAAGGTTAACAGTAATAACTGGTTATATATATTTATTTTAACTTTTTGTTAGTTTCTTTCAGCTTTCAAGCTTTTTTTATTATATTATATCTAAACTCATATATGTATATATACATACTGACGACATAAGCATCATAACCATCCTCTGTTAACCACTATTTAATTATTTTCAAAAAAAGGCTATTAAGCGAAATTAGTAAGAGTTATGGTTTCTGTAAAATCAAAGATTATTATAAAGCAGGTATAAAACTTCTCCAGCTAAAATTTTATAAAAAATTATTTTTAAATGTTATCAAAAGTACAAAGTAAAAAAATATAATACAATAATTCACCAAGTTTATTATGCGCAACGATATAAAAATTAAAAATAATTGCTTAAAAATCGTCATCGCTTCCGAATAAGCCGCCCGCACCAAGATCAATATCAGATTCTTCCTTTTCAACAGGTTCTTCCTCGTTTCCGGCTGTTCTCAACTCTTCTTGAGAAGCAGAAATCACGCCTGCTGAAACATTAGCTCTCTGGGTAGCAAGCATTTGCTTCACACGCTCGGCAGCGTCAAAAGTTATGTCCGTGGCAAGCGCCACGGCCAAAAGATTTTTAAACCCATTAATAATGGAATGGGGAATGGAAGCAGCAGTGGGATAGCCTATAGCCAAAGAGACACTGGCAACAGCTGAAACTGCTCTAGAGAATTTAGCAAGAAGCTCCTCCTTTGTTATGTCCAAGATAGAGGCCGGATAAATCAAGCCATCCTCAAACACCAGAACTACTTTTAAGCCGTAAGAAAAAGGAAATATGTTCATTTTGTTCAACAAATCGGCTTGTGAGGCGTTGACTTTATCGCCAACCGTAAGAAGATGGACGTCTGAAATGATCTCAATAATCCCTCTAGCAATTTTGGTGGCGATATTTAACGCTTGAAAAAAGGAAGTCTTCTCCGGAGGCATTCCGGTAGGACCAGCAGGTATAGTGACGTCACACTGCGCTATCGCACCAGCTCGCGCAGGAGCAGGTAGTTTATTTTCTACAAGAATGTCTCTAATAGCGTTTAAAGAGTCGTTGGTAAATACAAATCCGATGTTACCTAACAGTAATACAATAACGGAACAAAAACATAAAAAACATAAAAAATACTCACCACGTATATGAGGAATAAGTTTTTCATAGTGAGGAAACTCAGAGATCATAGTTCCGAGTATCTTGCGAATAAGTGTATTTTTCCCCATAAGAATAGAGGCTCTACCCCGAAGCGACTTTCGGACTTGGGCAAGCTGTTTTGAACGGACATTGTCAGCATTAACAATAAGAACCCTAGAGTAGCTGGTTACGGCTGAAATAAACCTAAATAAAAAAAAGTTATTAAAAATAGAAAAAATTAATATTTAGATAAACAAAACTTACCTATCAAAGTACTCAGATTTTCTCTCTTTTTTAGATCGTTCCACCTTCACCATCACGTGCTGAGGGCCTTTTATAAAAGTTTAAGGGCTCTAGATATAAAAAGAAAATAGTTTACAAAATCGCAAACAGTATAAAATTCAAAACTGCTCTACACAAGAGTAAGAGAGTCTAGCAATTAATAGGTAAAAAAGCACAGGACCCAAGAAAAGAAGAAGTAGGGAGTGTCTACAGAGGGATGTTGATATTATTTATATCCACGAGATTATTAGAATTTTTGAACGTTTTTTATGCACGAGGCAAGTTTACGCGGGAGTTTAATTTTCCATACTAGCTGCCCGTCCCAGGAAGTTTCTGTTAACTTTATTTGTACTTTTCCTTTTTTTTTTATCGTCTGTTCACCACTGTTACACGTATTCGAAAATTTAAAATATAAAGTTTGTAAATTTAAGTTAAGATTACTTTTCTACTTTTAAAATATTAATAGAGTTAGTAAACAGAATTAAATTGAAGGCATTAGACTTACAATATAGTAGCTAAGTTGTATCCACTGACAAACTTTATCTTTTTTTATATGCTAAAACTTGCGTTGAGAAAGTGTACATTTAAGTGGAATAACTGGTGCAGTCCTTAAAGAAATCATAACGCTCTACATTTTTTATAAAAGGTATAGGAAATATAAAATGACCGTTTCTAGAGGCTTATGCACGGGAAAGGTAAGAAGGATTTAAAAGTGTAAGCTACCAAAACTTTATAACTTAGAGAAGAAACAAAGCTTTACAAGTTAAAAATAAAATTTTTTAACTATATCGTTTAATATATTTTTAATATGAGGGAACTTATATATGCGGGGTTCTAAACTACTTATTAATCACTTAATATATATATATTAATTGTAATTATTTTTACTATGGTGAAGGAATAGTGACATTAAGCTTTAAATATAAAAAGTGGTGGATTTTATGCAAAGAATTACTTTTAACTGAATAAAAGGACCACAACTTTTGGTGTAAAACATTTCTTCTGTTTACTTTAAAAAAAGTTCCTCCTTTTTTATTGGCCTCAAACGCTTAATAGACCGCCGTAAACAATTAATAGATAATAGTTATCGTTGTTATAGTCGTCGTTAACGGACGATAGATTTAAAGGGTTTTTTGCTTCCTTAAGGAAATCATATATCCTTTATCATAGTGAGAAAACTAGCAGAATCACCAATTAATGTAGCTGAAATATTATCTGTGTATGGTGTGCTTTTAAACACAATTATAAAAAAATTATGATCTATAAATTGTAAAATATGTACGCTGGATTCTAGCTTTAAGCAAAAGCAATGAACTCTTTGGGCTGAATATGAAATTATATTTTCTTAAAATAAAAAAATATGCTTAACGAAACCAACTTTCTTTAACTTTAGTTTGATACCATTATTGAACAGTGTGGGAAAATGTTACGACCATGAAGAAAACGTATGAAGAGAAGATTTATTGTTCTAAACGGATTTCCAGGTGCTCGAGCGCGTTAACAACCCCGAATTCACGAGCTCGCAAACAGGTTTTTAGCCTCCACGAGTAAAAGTTGTCCTTTAACGTTCGGTACAAACCCATTACATAGCATTCAACCGTCATGCTAAAAGTGCACCGCCCCACACTTGTAATTGAGTTCATCCGCTAAAATGCGATTAGCTTGCCCAACTGTCCGTTCGTAGAAGGCGACCGCATCATATTTAAAGATGGTGGTTAGCAGCTCAACCTGTATACCCGTGGTAAAGTGTTTCATTGCGCATTTAAAACCACGCCTTTGTTATAAGACTAGCAGTTAATTTTGTCGCACATGAAACGAGGACGTTTATATACAACATTTCTAATTAAAATTGTAATTATTTATAGCTTATAATATCGTAATTCTGCTTTTGCTGTGGTCTCTCATTGTAAATCAATTGCAGTGCAGAAGCGGCCTTTTCCTAGCAAAAATTTGTCTCATTGTTTGCCATAAAAATATCATGCAAGGTTAGATAAACATATATTTTGACGGACACTCCAGTTATGTATTCCTATGCCAACCTGCCCTGTTTAAAAAAAAAAAAGAAGAGAGTTTATAAAAGAGCCCATTTTACCAACTTTATAAATGAGCTGTGCTAAAATGTTGGTTTCCTTTTTTAGCAAAATGTTTAACTTAATCAAGAACTTCAGGATATATTTAGTTATCTATTGTGTATCTTTTTAACAATGTACAAATTTTAGTTGTAAAATTACTGATTATTAATCTAGACCCCGGATCTTAAAATTATTTGAACTTGTCCTACTAAAAAGAAATAATCCGTTTTCTCAGTTTCATAATTTTGTCATTATAGCATAAAATACTTTTCGTCAAAAAATTATATTAAATCATTGATAATTCATTATTTTGCATTTTAAGTATTCAATTGCTGTCATGAAATATTTATAAATTTATTAAATAGACTTCTTATAATATTAAAGTTAAATTTAGTAAATAACTTAATATTTTTTTCATATGCTAAATACGAAGCATTAAATCTCAAATTTACTGTAAACTCGCAGACAAAGTTCTAAAATAAATTAGCAAGTCAAAAGGTTTTTTTTAAACTTTTGTTAAAGTAATATAGATAGGAAAATAATTAATAAGTTTGTTTACTATAACCAAGAATTTAAAAGTACTAATTTCTTAGTTGCAATGTATACACGTTACTTTGAGAATAGTTTTAGGCAATATCACCACATATTACTCAAAAAACTTAAACAGTGAAGTTAGTGTTAGGTGACGTAGACCATTGCTTCAAAGTTCCAGATTAAAATGCTTAGAAACATCAATAATATGCTAAAAGTTTACTATAAGAAGCGTTTGTTCACGTTTTAAAAAATTTAATGTTGGTGTACATCAGTTTTAAAATTTGATTTACAGAAAAAAAAAAGCATAAGGTTTATCAAAATAAGGATAGTCGTGAGAAAAGTGTCTTTTTTTACGTAAAATTTTTTATTTTCTATTGTGCTTAACAGTAAAAAATTCTTTTTATGGTCCTTAGCTTTCAAAAGTTTAACGTTTGAAAAGGTCAAGGTATTAGTTGTTGCCAATAAACAGCCCCCTGACATATTAGTAACGACTGCATTAAGTGGAAGTTAAAATCTCGGTTTGGTTGGGTAACTAATGCCCAATAAGCGTTTAATAAGAGGAGTTCTTTGGTATTTTTGTACCCAATAAGTTTTTATTTTGACCAGACAAAATTCTAAAAATGGAAATTAATTAAAGTATAAATAGTTATTCTACGGGTCTGTGGAGTCCTTTGGTCTGCCGTTGTGCGTTTCTGGAAGGCCGGGTTTTTTCTTTTTGGGCTTTGTGTGTGCACTTAGTATTAGCTTCTCGGGGTTTATTAGTTGTGGCGGTACTGTGGTTTTCGTTATTTCGTTATTTACAGTCAGTGCTTTTAAGTTATAAGATTTTAAATTACAACAAGTTGCGCAGAATTGGGGACATAAAGAACTTAATTTTTTTTTAAAAAAGTACTCTTTATACATTAAAAATTTTTTGGGTTACTTTTGTGCTATCAATATTTTTTGGTTTTTTAGATGCCCAGCTGACCTTTTAATTATATTGAGGCATTTCTGTTTAAGGTATCGTTTTAGTGACTTTTTCTTGTATGTTACCGCACCTACATTTTGTAAACTTTAACACTTTTAAATATTAAGTGGATTAAATTTTATAGCTTCAATTGTTTAATAATGGTTCCTTTGCATAGAAATGGTTATGGGGTCTACTCTCGAACTTCCCCTGGAAGAGGGATTCGCGCTTTTCGCGGTGCCTTGTTAGTCAATGGCCATCCCTTTAGTACATCTACTGATAGAAGAAACAAACATTTTTATAAAAACAGAGGCTCATCCGCGCTACGGGGTAGCAACTTGCGCAGTATACGCAAAGGGGCCTGGTATGGAGGAAAGCAGAGTACTTACCATAAGTTTTTACATCCTGGAAAGAGAAATAATATTGGCAGAGCCCGTTTTAGGGGCGGACTTGAGAAGTCTACTAAAGTCTGTAGCCCTGTAAACGGCGAACGCAGCCCATCCGGCGAGAATCCCGCCAATAACGGCGATGTTTCTTTTAACGTGAATTTTGGTGTTTCCAGCAGTCTAAATTACGCTTATGAATCGGATGCGGACGAGTCGGTGACAAGAGATTTTTATGACGATTTGGAATCTAATATGAAGCGAACTAAGACGCGAAGAGGGTTTTTATATGTTTTATTTTTTATTTTAAAAAAATAAGATTAAAAAGTTTACGTTGAAATTTTCTTTTATTTATATATTATACTCATTTTGTTATTTTGCAAATTGTTTGGTTTATTTATTGCTTCTTGCTATTATTCTAATTCTTTTTATTTACATTAACTTTTTTATAAATTTAATTAATTTTTTATTTATTTTACCTTTTTTTAAGTTTTTTTTCTCATCTAATTCGTAGGTTAAGATCCAGAGGAATGAAATTTAAGCCCTATTCTCAAATGTCTTTTGAGGAGCTGAAGGACAGATATCTCCGCGAGCAAGAAAAAGCCACTGCGGTGTTAAATTATGAAATCAAAGCTCAAGAAGGTTCTTATACTAAACGGTATAAAGGGAAAAAAAGTGGTGCAGTCTGCCCACGTGCTCCAAAGAACACTACTCAGGTGTGAATTTATAATAATAATAGTAATAGTGATAATATTATAAATAATAATAATTCTTATGACTAACTAAACTTTATAAAGTTTTTGATTCACGAGTTTGGCATTCGGGATGAAAAAAGTCACGCTCTTAAAGAACAGCGAAGGCTAATACGCAGGAAGCAACTTTTGGCTCAGCATGGCGAAAACTACCACAATGGTGAGCTGACCCCCTATGGCTTTGAGGTTGATGATTTTGAGAAGATGCTACGGGAAAGTCCCCCCGAAACCGAGCCCGCAGCGGAGCGCAGTGCGGTTCTGCCTTGTGCCAGTAACCTGACACCTGAAGTACCCAAACTTGTCTTTAATCCCGCCACGCCGTACGGCTTTGAATGGAGCAGCCAAAGAGAAGCTTCTGGCGAAGGTGCTGCTCCCGACAGCGAGACAAACAATTCTGTTGATCTTGAAAGTGTTCTTATGGCGGAGACTATTGAGAAAAAAAACATTGAAAACCTAGAAAAAAATGTCTTAGTCAATCTTGTGGTTCAGCTTCGTGAAAAATTGGAAAAGGAAAAACAGTCAAACTTGAGTTGTTGATTTCTTATGACCCTTAAAAGTTAAATATTAAAATTGTTTTGAGGATTTTATTGGGAAAAAGAACGAGTCCCAAAAATAACAAGAAAATACGTGGAATCAAGTTTTCTCCGTAATTTAGACTTTACTCTGGAAGTATAGTCTCTCTTTTAATTATAAGTAAATTTTATTTTAATTTTTTTTACTCTAATAAAGTGTTAATAAAATATAAAAAGCTTTTTTTATATTAAAAGGGATTTTATGATATAATTTAGTTTTACTTGTGTAACTTTTAATTGGAATATATTTATAAATTATTCAAGAACACTTAAATTATATGTTGGAATAGTTAAGAGAAATTTATAAGTTTTTGTCATTCAACTGGTTCATTTATTACTAATAAACAACTGTACAACCCTTAAAAGTTGAGGATTATTTTTTTTCGTGGAAACTTATCTAAAATTTTTAATAAAATTTTAAATTTTATGTTTGCACCTTTTTTTTTTTAATTTTGTTTTTTTGAGGTTCTTGGTGCAAAGATGGAAATTTGTCGTTTTTTTTTTAATGCTTATAATTAGACAATTATTTTTCTAGTTAAAAATTTTAATGTGCACGCTAGCACTAAGATGAGGGTGAATGCTTTTATACTTTTTATTAGTTTTTTTGTACTGTAAATTAACCTTGTAATCGTTTTGAGGTTATGGAATCGCGTTTGAAATTATTGCTTTTTTAAAAAAAGTATATTTTTTACTTTAAAGCCTATAAGGATTTTAAAAGGACCTTTATCCGATTTTTAAAAAAAGAAATTTTACTTCGGAGTTACTTATGTAAGTACTTATGTTTTTTATAAAAACTAAAACACCCGAGTGGAGAACAACTTTTTTTTACAGGAAAAACCAGGCTTTTTTTAAAAGGGTTTGCAGTCTGTTACTAAATAATTAATAACATTAATAAAAATTATATAAGTTCAATTATTATAGAGTATCTTTTATTTTACAAATGTTTATTAACTACTCAAATTTTCTTAAACGGGACTGTAAATCAAACGACGAACCCGTTTTTTTAGGCTCATTTTCCTCTTTACGCTTGAAGAGGGATAAGAATAAGTGTTTGTACTTTATCGGCTTCCAGATCTATTATTTATGAAGTTTTCTTGGAAAAGTTTATTGACAAAACTATAATCATTAATTTGTTTCATACTATATTCCGTATTATGGTAATAAATTTTTCATTATGAATGGTTTTTTATAATTTTGGCTTGAAAATCTTAAGGAAGAGTTTGTTCTTCATAGACGGGGGGATTATATTTATTCTTGTATGCTTTATAGGTCTTATCCTTGGCAACTATCTTTATATTGTGAAGTTAACAACCATTACTATATAAAGATGAATTATATTAAAGTAAAACGCTAAAAAGGTTTTTGTTAATAGCAGCCAAAATATAGTTATTCTTCAAAGATGGTATAAAATTTGTGATTAAGTTTGTGTTTGGTTTTTTTTATAAAAAGATATATTTTATAATTCTAGACATCTAACCTTTCATGGAAAAAATAAGTAGTTCACTTTTTTAAAATAAGTCACGCTAACTTTATAAAGGTTTTAATTACTAAATGCTTAAGTTAAGATATTAAACAAAGATACTAAAATAAAGATGGTGTTTAGTAATCTAATTTTAAAAAAACTATTATTTAAGCTATGTTTAAAAAATACTATAATTTGATGAAAGAAACAAGTTGTACACAAAAAGTTTTTCAGATGGGTTGAAAGAAAGCTTTATCCTTACAGAGTTGTATAATCATCCCTGCTACGTTTAATTTTTTTCTTTAAAACTTCTCGTTTTAATATACAGAAATATTAAAAGGTTATAATGAAAACAATATTATTAGGTTACATATAATATTTCCCAAAATTTTAGTGGTATCTTAGTAAATAAAAATTTATGAATGCTTAACGTATTCTTATGGGTAAGCTTTGTATTTGTATTTCAAGTAGTTTTTATCTTTAATTCCCTTCAACTATAACTAAAAGACTTAATATGCTTAAAAATTATAACCGAGCAATATAAGGTTTTACGAAAAGGAAAAGTGTATTATTTTAAAGATGACTTAAAATCCGGCTATAACGCTAAAAACACTTGTAAGTAGTTTTTTTAAGTAAAAATTTTTTTGGGGAACTACTTATTTTCTAACATTGTCCTTATATTTTTATCTCTAAGCAGCCGTATCTTCTGTGTAACTGAGCAGTATTTTAATTTTTTTAACGGAATTAAATAAGTTATTGATTGCGTTTTGCAAATTAATAAAAAATAATTTGTTATTTAATTGTGAGAAAATTTTAAGATTTTAAAATGGTTAGAGGCTATAACGCTCAAGGCGCTTGTAAGCAGCTGGAGGTGGTTGAAGTACTTTACTCTGGAAAGCTGCTTTATTTCTAGGACCGTTAATTTATTTGATACAAAGATGCGTCTTTTATATATCTGAGCGGTGTATAACTTTTCCATCAGAACTAAATAAATTCTCAATGGTTTTGCAAATTAACAGAAAACAAAATTCGGTATTTAGGAGTGAGGAGGTTGACGATTTAGAAATATGTCCGAAGTGTTCCAGGTTATAGCCATCGTTTTACCAAGTTGTTCGCAACCGACAATAAAATATTTACTTTGATAATCTTTTTTTTTTAAGGTAATAAAGCCGATCACATATCTATTTTTTATATTTCAATCTTTTTTTAGAGACAAATCTCTCGATGTTGAGATTCTAGTCGGGCCTTGTGGCCATAAACTCTGCCGAATTTGTGTTAACAAACTTTATTTACTTAACACTGATGTCCTGTGCCAATTCCCTTCTTGCAAGAAGAAATTAAAGAAACAGGACTACAAAATTCAATTTTTCAATGACCTTGAGGTTCACAAAGAGGTACTATGCGAAACGTTTAGCAGCTTTTTTTAATAATTAGAGATTTCATATTTTTTTTATAATCAACATAGGGTCGGTCACATTATGTTAATAATTTAAATCCTTTACAAAAAGTAAATAATACTTTTTTAATTCAATAATTTACATCTCTCAAATTAATTATTATTTGGAGGAAATAAAATTATATAAAAAAGGGAAAAGACTTGCCGATCGTAAATATATTAATCGAATATTAAATTTATACTGTTAAACTTTTTATTATAGATATTTATTATGCAATTAAACTTCTAAATTTTAATTATTTATTTAAATAGATATAAATTTAGTAAAAATGTTTATATATTCTGCACTTCTAAAATTATTTACTCATAAAATTGATTACTTTATTAATTATGAAGTTTGGTATTATCTTGGAAATCTTGAAAGTATGAAACGAAATTTATTATAATTTATATTTTTCTTTTTTTTTTTCCCTTAAATTATTTTGCGAACTTCTTTTTTTAAAAGTTTTAAATTTTTTTTAAGTTTCTGAAAGTAAATTTTTATCATTTTTTAATTAATAAACCTACTATTTTCATTTAAAATTTGTTTATAAACTTTTTGTATATTAAGTTAAAAAAGTTAATTTTTTATATTAAATTTTAAAAATATGAGTTTTCATATTTGTATTTACTTTTAATTTTTTAAGAATTATAAAAATAAATTTATTTTTTAAAAATGTTAAATTAGTAAGTTTTGTTGTAAGCAAAACTTTATTTTTTTAAGAAAAACATTAAAATTTTTTATAATTTAGACAACTGTTTCATGTATTTATAATCTCTCAAATTATTTAAATTTTCAATATTTTAATTTTAAATAATTTAAAATTAAATTTTTTTTATTACAATTTAGTTCTTATAATATTATATAAAGTTTAATAAAATTTATATTAATACTTACTAATAACTATAAGAATTTTATAATTTAAAATTTTTTTTTTAATTTTTGATAAAATACTATTTTCTTTAAACTTTTTTTTTGCCCAACCATTTATTTAAAAACATCTATTGGTTGTTCGGTGTGTAGTGTTTGTTATTCGCGCGCTTCCTGATTCCACATTTTCCTCCAGTCCAATGAGACTATTATTAAGAGCTGTTTCATTAATTCTTTGCTAGTTCAGAACGTGATTTTTATATTTATTTTTTTGGTCTTTTATAAATATTCATATTTATATTTATTATTTTCGTATTTGTATATTTTTATATAATTTTTTTTAACTTATAATTACTTTTTTTACTAGTTATTATCATCATACTTATATATATATATACTATTATGTATATGCTTATTATTATTTATCAAAACTTCTATTATTGAATGTTGTTATTATATCTAGTTATTATTGCTATACTTATATTTATATATTTATACTATTTCGTATTTACTTATTATTTATATTACTTCTTTTCTTTTATTGCTAGATTTATATATAAAATAGTATAGAATATATACTTTATATATACTAATTATTTTTATTGATTTCATTTATTTTTCTAGTAATCATAACTACACTTATATTTTTATCTGTTATACTATTTTATTTATACTTATTATATTGTTATACATTTTTTATATATGTACACTATTATTGTTTATTATAAGTATTACTTTCTTAGAAACCGTTATTACTATATTTTATTTTTTTATACAATTTTTTTTATTATCGTAATAATTAACAAAAGAAATAAAAGGTTGTGCTTCGTGCTGAAGTAATGAAAATATACAATAAACCAAGAGAATCCTTTCCGCCGGACGCAAATGGTCTGCGTCAATATAATGATTATCTTGAAAATATTGAAAAAATAGTTTTCAATCTTCTTAGCGACGTTGATGTAGAAAAAACTCAAAATGTTCAACTTTTGAAAATATATATTTTTACTTTTTTTTAATAAAATGATATTTTTTTTAGTATATACCTTTATAAATTTATAAATATTTTATATATTCTATAATAAACTCAATCTGTGTTATTTTTATTAATTTTTCTTACATAATTTATAATAAATTACTTTATTATTTTTATATTTTTGACTTCTATAGATTTTTATACTAAAATATTGCTTTTTTATGATATATATAATGAAAAATTTAATTTGTTTTTCTTTTAGAGATTATTTTATATAATAATGATAATTTGCTTTGTTATATTTATATATTTTTTTAACTTTTAAAACTTTTGTGTTTTTATTAGTTACTAATAATTTACTTTTATTCTATATTTCTTTTAAAAAACTTGGTGTTAAACTTTTATACATTTTTATTCTTTGTTATATATTTATTTAACCATATATATATCACCTTTATATACGTTTATATATTAATTTTAAAGTTATCAATAATTACTTTATTATATTTTTTTATAAGGAAACTTAAATTGTTTAACTTTTTATAAACTGTTATATATTTTTTTAAAGTTAATAATTACTTTTCATTTTTTTTTTAAAGAAACGTAAAATGTATAACTTTTTTAAAACTCTAATAATTTACTTAAATATATTTATATTTTATTATAACTTTATATAAACTTTTAGTATTTTTTTTAAAGTTAATAATTTACTTTTTATTTTTTTTAAAAAACTCAAACAGTTTAACTTCTGTAAACTTATATATATATATATTTTTAAGTTAAATTATAATTCATTTTATTACTGTTGAGAAGAAAAGTAAGAATTATTAAAAAATTTTATTAATTTTAAGTTAATAAGTTTTATTTATATATAAAAATGATTTATAAAGCTTATAAGTATATTTTTAATAAAATAAATATTAAAATAAAAATAAACTTTCGTTTTATTATAATAGAAAATATTTCTACTTTTATACATACTCAATCCTAGAAATAAAAACTGTAAGCAAAATAATACTAATAACGTTTTAATAAAACCACTAAAACATAACAAGTAACTGTGAATAGTAAATATCTTAAATCTTTATATATACTTATACCCAATTTTATAAAACTGCTAAATATTTTCATATTAAAAAAGTTATATATATATTTTCTTTATTTTTTTATTAGTACTTTTGTTTATAGGAAGAAACCTTTATTATTTTCTTATATATAAAATTTTTACATAAAAGGAAATTTCAAAATATAAAGAAGAGTTTCAACGCGAAATCCGACTTTACTCTGAAAAATACAATAAAGAAGTAGAAAGAGTGAAAGCTGAGGTAGAAATAATTATAAAAAAAAAAGTTAATAAAATAAGTATTTAAAGCAGTCATAATAATTATTATTATAAAAGTTATACCAATAAATATCAAAATACAGTAATAATATTGAATTCCTTTTTATTTCCACCAATCATATGTCTCTTTGAGCATTAATCACGTGATCAAAAGTTTAAGCAACCATTTTTGTAATCAATATATGAAAGTTATAAGTTTACTATTATGTTTTGAATTTCTTTTAAAAAAACATATGTATAATTACTATATTTTTTATACTTTTTTTACTTTGTTTTTTTGTTTTTTTTTATATATTAATATTATTTTTTTTAGCAAAGTTTTATATAAAAGTTTTTATAAAAAAAGTTTATAATTAAAGAAGTTAAATATGGAAACAATAAAAGTCTAGCATTTTTTATTTGATGCTTGGCTGGTGCGATAAATTTTAAAGAAAAGACATTTTTAAATTTAATTTTAAATTTTTCTCCAAATAATTATAATAATAAATATTACTAATAAGGCACCAATCATCGTTTATTAATTGACCAGTAAAGACAACATGGTTTTTTTTTCTCCAATTTTTTGTATTTCTTTAATAAAATAAGAATTATTACTTTATTTTAGTTGGGTATTTTTTTTTTAATAAATTCGCCAAACTTATTTATTTAGTATGAAAGTTATATATTTTATAGTTTTACATATTTATTATTTTTTTTTATTAAATATAAAAAATAAATGTGTATATATTTTGCTAAATTATATTTTCTACCATTTTTTTTTAAATATATTAAATAATCATTATTTTTTCTATGAAAGTATTCATTACTTATTAATGAAATAAAATATAAATTTTTTATTTAAAATTTTATTGTTAATATTTTTTAATAAAATTCTAAAATATTAATAATAATATAAATTTAATTATGATTAAAGTTTAGTTGAGTCTGATAGTCAACAAGTAAACTTCAAGTTTTTTTTTCCTTTTTTTTTATATTTGTAAAATTTATATTGTTTTCTACAAGTTTTATATCTTTTTTGCTTTTTTTATATTTTTATTAAATTTATATTTTTTCTTTTTTTTTATTAAAAACTTTACATGACCTTTTTAACTTTTTTTATGTAGAATTAATATTTTTTTCTTCTTTCGTTGTTAATTTTAAATAATATCAGGTTGAAAAAGAACAAATAAATGCGCTTCAAAAGGAACAAGAAGAGGTCGATTTTATAAAAGAAAAGATAAAAGAAAACGAAAAGGAAAATGAAGACTTTATTGAGGCCCTTCAGACTGAAAATCTCGGTATTTTTTATTTTTTATAATAGAACTCTTTTTTATTATGAAAATTTTATAAAAATTTTCAAGTATTACCAAAATATGATTATAATAACGTTTTTCTTTAAAGTTGTAAAGTAGGAAAAATATAATAATATATTTATCTTTTTTATATAAAGAAAACTTTATAATAATGACGTATTATTTTATAAAAGTTTAAAGAAGTATTAAATTAAAAAAAAACTTTTAAGTAACATTATAACTTTTTTACTTTGTAAAACTAAAAAAAAAGTTTAAAAAAAAATAATTAAGTATTATTAAATGTTATAATAAAAAATATTAAAATAATAATTTTCTAAAAAGAAACTTTTTTTTACTACTAAAACTTAATAATGATAATTTATTTTGTAGAAGTTTATTAAAAGTTTTAAAAACAACACGATATTATATATATTTAATATACAAAAGTAAATAATATCTAAGTTCTGCTCACGAATGGGTCAATAATAAAGTTTATTACTTTTTTGGATAAATATTTATAATAATAATAACATTCATTTATTAAGAATGCTTATAAACTTTTATACATTTTATTTCATATATATTTTTTTACTTCACTTTAATGTATTTTATTTCTTTTATAGTTTTACTTGATCTTTTTATTTATTTATTATTATATATTAGCTTTTTTATTTTTTCATAATAATTATTAATAGAAGTTAGTTATATATGTAAGATTTATAAGTAAATATTAAATGCTTCTTACGAACAAGTAAAGCTTCAAGTTTAGTTTTTTTATAATTATATATTTATAATGATATATAATAAACTTTAAATGTTAATATTAAATAATATTTATAATATAAAAAATGCAAAATATTATATTTTCTAATATATAAATAAATAATATTAATGTACTGCTTACGAATAAGTAAATCGTGAAGTTTATTACTTTTTTTCATTAAAATATATAATAATAAACATGAAAAATTTTATTTCCCCATATTTTAATTTTAGTAATAATAATATTTACGATAACAATGCATTTAATATATAGAAGTAAATAATGATAACTAAAGTAACTATCTTGTAACTATTAAATAATAATAATATACAATAAATTTATAAAAGTAAAATTGCTTGACAATTTTTATTACTTATAATATTGAATATTTAATATATCAACTAATAATTGTAATATCATTATTTTTTTATTTACATAATAATTATAACAACGATAACAAAAATAATAATAATAGTAATAATCATAATAACAGTAATAATAATAATAATGCTTAAAGGTTCTTTAAAGGAGCGGCTGAAAAACAAAGAAGAACTGAAGCAACGGAAAAAAAAGTCGCAAAATACAGCGATTGGCCAATCCAAATCAGTAAAACTAAAAATTCCCGCCGAAGAATTGGTTTCTTTATTGTTATTACATTCACGACTTTTAATGTATTTTCAAAACTTTTCTTTATCGGCTATTTTTTAAAGTTTGTTTTGTTTACTTGAAAAAGAAAACAACAAATTTCTAATTTTTTTAATAATTATTAGAAATTCTAATTTAAAAATTTTTATTTTGTAAATTTTATATTTTTCATTAAAATATTTTTATATAAATTTTTTTGAATTTAATTATAAACAAAATAAAAAGTAAACAATTTTTTAATTTTTTTTGTTTATAACGAAATATTTTTATTTTTTTATTAAAATAATTTAGAAAAATTTAAGGAGAAATGTTATATAAATAAAAAGTTAATATATTTTATTATTAAAATTAATATTTTTTTGGTTATATAAAAGTTATATTTAATATTTATTATAAAAATTTTTAAAATAAAATATATTTATAAAAATAATTATAATAAAATATAATTTTTAATATTTTTAAAAACTTTAAAAATTTTTACAGAAATGACTTATTACTTCAATTTTGTAAAAAGTTTTTATTAATTATAAATTTGTTTTGTTTTTTTAAAAATTTTTTAGTTTTTTTAATAATTTTTCTTTATGAAAATTTATTATTTTTTATTTACTGAATATTACTATTTTAAAAAATTTTTTAAATGATATATAAATTTTTAATTTTTACAGTATTTTGGTAGTAAGTTATAGTATTCACTTTAGTTTTTTTAAAAAAATATTTGTATTGTAATATTAAAAAAAATAAATTTAATATAAATTTTTATAATCGAATTAGAAATTTATAAAGTTTATCATTAACACAAAAAAATTGAGTTTGATAAAAAAGTTTTACTTATTTTCTTTAATGGATACTACATAAAATTTGCTTTACTATTTTAATTATTGTTATAATCTTTTTTATAAAAAAAATATAAAATAAATAATATTTTAATGAAAAGTAACTTTTTACTTTTTATTATTTATAATTCATAAACTTTTTTGTTATAAAAAAAAATTATTTTATATTAATAATATTTTATACGTAATAAAACTAATATACTATTATATGTTACTGAACTATTTATATACTTATCTATAAATTTATATTTAAAACTTAAATATATGAAATACTTATTTGGCTATGAATTATAGTTGATCGCGGATTTTTACTTTTTATATATCTTTTAAAAAGTTTTTTTTTTATAGAAACTTTTTATAAATAATTAAAATATAAAAAATATATTATAATTAAAATTTCAGTAGAATTAATGCCTATAAAAAAATTTATTATTATTATTTTACATATGAATCTTCAATTTTTTTTTATATTCATTATATTTATAAAAAATAAAAAACGTATTTTTTTTATAAATAATAATACTTGAGAAAATTAGTATGATAAATAAAAATCTTACTAATATTTATACTATAATCTATAACGTAATAGAATTAATATTTGTTTATAAAATTTATTATTTTTATTATTATATTAAATTATAAAACTTTTATCAAACACTTTGAATAAGTAAGAAAGAAATTTTTTTTTTATAAATAATAATAATAAGTCTAATAGAATTATTTTTCCTTGGAAATATAATAATATTATTATTTATAATAATTTTTTTAACACTTTTTTGAAACTTTTTAAATTTTATTATTCATAAATAAATATTTTCCTCAATATTAATAAAAAAAATTAAATTATAAAAAATTTAATACTCTTAAAAATGTGAACTTTTTTGTACTTTTTTTAAACATAAAAAATTTCAAAACAAAGTAAAAAAGAAGATTAATTTTATAAATATTTAATAAAATAAATATTATTATTCTTAGTAACTTTGAATGTTATGTTAATTTTTTTCATAACAAGTTAAAAATATATATTATATAATAATAATATTAAAAAGTCTAATAAAATATAATGTTTACCAGTAAATAATAATATTATTAATCTTTATACTTTTTTAAACAAAATCAAATATTTTATAATCAAAGTAAAAAAGGAATTATATTTTCTAATATAATAATTTTAATATAACAACTTTTATTATTATTAACTTTAATTAAAAAAATATATAAATAATATTAATAATAAATTTAATACGATAAATAAAAAAAATATATTCCTTTTTACTAAGAACTTTTAATACTCTTAATAGTAATATTATAATTTTTTCCTATTAAAATAGTTAAAAAAAATTATTTATTTTTACTTTTATTGAAATTGTATAAAAATAACTTATTTTTACTTTATATTTAATTATTTTTTTAATATAAATAATTTAATTATTAATAAAAACTATTTATTTTTTTTTGTGATTGACAATTTTTTGATGTTTGAGTTTTTAAAAAAATTTAATTAAAAACTTAATCTTTTTTTATTATTATTTTGTAAAAGTTCAGATATATTTATTTAATTCTACTGAATTTATAAATTACTTCTTTCATTTGAAACTTTTTATAGGAAAAAGTTATTCTAAAATTTTTTTTAGTTGTTTATCTATTCTGAACTGGTTTTGTTGTTTTACTGTTTAATTTATATAATTTTATTATTATTTCTTCTAAATAAAAAACTTTTTACTTCTTTTTTCTAAAAATTTAATAATCTTTTATTTTTGATAATCAGGTTTTGTACAGTTACAAGTTCCCTTCATCCAATACGCACGGCCCACCCGTTCCCGATTATGCCTTAATAAAAAATCACTACCAGCCAGCATTCACGGATCTGCTTGACTTGGCGCCTCCTGAACACTCGGTTCCGTGCGGATTCGAAATTGCAAGGCAAATCCAAAGGTTTTTTAACAAGAATTTTTTTATTATTATAAAATTTTAAAAAAAAGATGTAAAGTTTTTTTATGATAATTTATTTATTAAAGCTAATAAAGTTATTATTTCATAATTTTTTGAAAAAGTTTATTTATTTTATTTATAAAATTAAAAAATTTATTATTTTTGCTTAATAATTTGTTAGATATTTATTTTATTAAAACATGTTAATAATATTAATTTATTTATAAAAGTAAATAAAGTTACTTTTTTTAAAAATATACGTTTATTATAATTTATTGAAAAACTTTCTTTGTAAATTTTATATTTTTGATCAAAAATTTAAAATTTATAGTAAAGTTATATTCATATTTTATTGGCACGTGTTAAGTTTAATGAAAATGGATACTAATAAAAGTTACTAAAATTACTTTCATTATATTATAATTTAAATGCCTTTATTATAGAATTTTTTAATTTTTTTAAAGTTTTAAAATTATTACTTTTTTATAAAATCAAAATTTATTAAAAAAATTATTTATTATTTATTGAAACTTGTTAAGTTTAATAAAATTAATTTATATATATAAGCCAAAAAAGTTTTTAATTATGATAATATTTAAAATTTTTATTTTTTTTTAAAGTTACTTAATATTATTTATGAAGTAGTTTAACATTATTTTTAATTAGAATTTTTAATTTTGAAAAAATTATTTTTTTATTTTTTTATTAAAACATGTTACGTTTATTAAAAACAAATAAAAGATTATAAAAAAGTAAAAAAATTCATTTTATTAATTACAAAATATTAAAATTTAAAATTAAAAACTTTTTAAAAAGGTTTATTGGTTTTATATATTTTCTTAAATATATAAAATAGTAGTAATAAAAATATAATTTTTTTTATATAAATTTTATTAAAAAAGTTTAATTTTTAAAATACATGTTATATTTATTAATCATATTTTATTTAAAAGCCAATAAATTTATTAAAATAAATTAGAAACTATTTGTAAAAAAAATTAATTATTTAATTATTAAATTTATACAAATAGTTTTGAGAAATATTAACATTTTCACCGGATGTTTGAGAAAAATATTTAAGTTTAATATAAGTAGTTTATTAATATTAAATAGTAAAGTTATTATTAGTAAAATAATACTTAAAAATCTTTCTTTACTTTTATATGTCCACTAATAATTTTATATAAAATATCATAAAGAATATTATTTTTATTAATAAAGTTGAATATTTTTTAATATAATCCGACGTATTTTTATTTAATTATGCTAATTTTATTATAAAGTTTTTTTTAATTTTTTTTTCGCTATAGTAATTTAGCTAAGAGACTTTATTAAAAGTAAATTATGATTATTACAAAATATACATGTGTTGTAAATATCATTTTTATAATTATATCAAAAATCAGTAGGAATAAAACTTTTTATTATTAATAATAAACAGATCTTTAAGTGAAGCGTTTAATTGCCTATTCTTTAAGCGGTCATAAGAAACGTTTTTAACAGAATTGAATTAAACTGTTATATTATAATTATTAACTTTTATTAATTTTTATTAATAATAAAACTTTTTTTTTGTAATGGTTTTTATTAATCTCGTTAAAAATTTTAAACATTTTGGAGCACTGCCTTATAGAATTTTTTTATCTAGCAATATACCAAAAGCATTAATTAATCTCTATACAAGTATGAAGAGAACATTTAGCGAAATTATTTTTTTATAGTTTATGCGGTATAATTTTAATGAAAAGATACGTAAAAAATTAGGGCTCACGCCCAAAAATTAAAATAATTTTTTTTTAAATAAAACTCCTTTTTGGAAGTCGTAGTACCACGTTGCATCCTACCAACTGATTTTGTGAAAAGTACATGACATAATGGTTAACGAGCTCTGCATTTGCCACGCATTTAAACGACTAAGAAAGAAGAAGAGCCCAAACTATAAATTTCTTGTTTTAATTTTTAATAATTGTAATCAATAATATTAAATTTTCAAATTTGAAAAAATAAAATTATAGTTCATTGAAATTTATACTTTATTATATTATAAAGGGAAAAAGTTAATTCTTTAAGGATAAGTATAAGAAATGGACAAAAATATGGGAATCAAAAACCAAATTGGACATTGGCACTTGACCGTACTGGGGTCAGATGGTATAGTATTACCAACACAATCTGATGTAACACGTGGTGTATAAACGTGACTTTTCGGGGCGTGCTACCTCCTCATGCTTTTCCGAGAGATGCGAGAAGGCTGGGTAATATACTGACTAGGATATAAAGTGAGCTTGGTTACCGCGTGGACTTCCAATTGGTAACTTTATTTATGGTATTAACTCGAAAACTTTTTATAACAAGAGACTTGCGCTGCTAAAGTTCTGCACTAAAACATCCCCGTTGTCCATAAGTAGAGAGTCTTTACTAGACGGCGCGGTTTTGCATAATACGAAGCAGTTCAAGGCTTCCTGTTGTTAGCAATAGTTTATCCCTCTAGTGAACATGTCGGAATTACAATCTCTCTTTGGTAACCGCTTTTGCTTAAGTGAGGCATATGGTTCAACGTTTATATAACTTAAATAATATCATTAGTGGTCATTTTTTAGCAATGATTTAAAACATGCATACTTGTATGAAGCTCAAGATTTTAACAAGATACACAGAAGCTTATTAAAACTCAGAAAAATCATAATTATACTATCAATTAAAAAAAATGTCTCGTCTAATAATGGTAAAAACTTCGGCGGATAAAACTTTGGACGTGAACCGACCTACTGTGATATTGGTGGCTATGTATCAAGAACTTTGAGTTTATTAAGTATGTAATAATATAAAAGAGAAAAATATAAATAGAGGCGAAAAAAACACTACTAGATATAATTTTTAGTAGATGGCAATGGCATGCTATAACACGGAAAACATCACCAACATTAAACTTGCAACCCAATATACAAATATAATAATGAAAACCACAAGACACGATACACAAAAGATAAAATAATATATATAACATATGACACAAAAACAAAAAAAAATTGCAAAATATATACTATAGCTCGTAAAACACAAAAATACAAATTTCCTAATTAAATTATTATCCGAATGACTATCTTTCATAATTGCTAAGTTCAATCAATAAAAAACAGCTATTATACGGTTAACTGAAAAAATGTTTTTATCTATTTTTTTTTATGAATTTTAAAATGCAACAACCCACGTCCCACATTTCCGGACTTTATCTGCCATGAACTTAACTTTAGAAGAGTTTATTTTGACCAATTTCGAACTTGACTGCCCAGGCGCTAATGACCTGGCCTTTTAAGTTGCTAGTGTTTTCATTACTATTTTTTTTGTTATCTTTATAGTTTTAAGATATCTTTAATCTTATAACTTTGCCCTCTAAAGAATTTGCTCTAAACAGAAGTATGGCTGTCCCTGAAAAATATCGACTTGGATTTACGCCGTTTAACTCAGAGTAATGAAAAAACAACTTATAAACTTACCATTGGGGATGGTGGCCCCGAAAACTAGTTTAAAGGCCATATGAACTGGCTTCGCATTGCTATTGGCGGGGCCCCGTAGCATTGAAAGTATAAATTAGAATGTAACATTAACATGCATTCCGTTTTTGCTTTGATCATTAAGAAACAAATGCTCGGAATTTTAATGGCGGTTGTAAGAAATAAGCTAATTAAATTTTTTAATAGAACGGTTTACCCTTTTGGCATACCCGACGTCCATTTAGTAAAAGACTTGTTTTGCAGTAGAGTGGACACTTACTGGTAGGATACAAATATACCCCATGCGAAATAGGACAAGCATTAGATGCACATGTCTCCATGACCTGAAATAGAATTTGTCCAGCCCCCTTGTACCCCACTCACATAGGGTGTCACCCTCTCTTTACAGATTATTTAAGGGAATGGAGGCTTAGACTAAAAATATATTTTGGAACAATTTTAAGATATCTTTGAGAGCAGTACTTGATTCAGTAGGTATACATTATTGAAAGTGAGCTTAAACTACTGCGGCTAATGTAAGTTTAATTTTCTATACTTGTTTGAGAGGAAGTTACACCCACTATCCAAACCATAGCTTTTTTAAAAAGTAGAACGGATAAATAGCTTGTTGCGACACAATCATTAGACGTGAAGTGTTGTTAGCACGTTATTTTTTTTCACTAAATAATTACTGCAAGGTAAGTGTCTAACATAAAGTGGACCGCTATAACATCTTTTCTTTATTTTTCCTTATGAAAAACGACCAACCTTTTCTTAAGGCAATAAAAAAATTTTACTAAAAAAGTAAAATACTTATGGTTGGATGGTAACAAACATTTAAGCAAATAAATAGTAAACTTATTATATAACAGCACAAGCAAAAAAACAACTACTTGTACTTATACGTAAAAGGAAACCTAAAAAAAAAAGAAAAATAACGCCTGTCAGCTTCAATCAAGCAAAGCCTTCAGTTCTTCCTTTTTACTTGTGTTAGAGAACAGGTTTCCTAGACTAACTCGCACCACTCTTTTAAAAGCCAAAGTTTTCTTTAAAGCGTGCATTGCAGACATACATATATTGGCCTTAGTTAAATTTCTTAAATCTTCCACTCCTATAAATGGTAACTTTAATAACCCTCCTGTAAATATTTGATTTAAAGATTCTTTATAAGCTATTCCCTAGTCAGTGATTGCAATAATCAAGAGTTTTTATGAAAGAATCAGTTTTCTATAATTAAGTTAAGTTAACTTATAATTTATGAACGGTTAAATTTATCCGTTATCTAACATTGAACTTTGTGATCACATCTTAAACAGGTTAAAAAAATTGCTAAAAAAGTATTTATTACCGGAATTTTCTCTTACAAATTTTTCAGAAATCTGCCAACCAATAAACTTCAAGAGCGTAGCCAATGAGCTTCATTGGCTTGTAATTTTAATTTAAAAAATTTTTGGGTTTGCTATTTAGGACGCCCAACAGCGTAGTCTCGAATTTGACAATAGCGTTTATAACTGTTTAAATAAATTTTCTAAATCTGTTTAAAATATTTAGTAAAACTAGTTAACTTAGTATTTACTTAATTGTTTTCTAGACTACTAAGCTATTTAATAACTTCGACTATAACCTTTATAATACCGCTGGTCCTTTAGACCAATGTCAAACTAAAACTCTGAAGACGCGGTAAAAACCTAAAAAGAAATAAGGGAAGAAAGAGCAGAAAAATATGATAGCACCATGTGTTTTATTAAAAAAAATGTATACACATATATTGTAGCAATAAATTATAAAAGGTATACCTAATAAACGATATATAGTCACACTCAATTATTTAATTTTAAATCCTACTCTAAGGCAATTAAATTCTAAACAATAACTAGGCGTGCAGTTCATTTGCTTGGTGTTAAGTATAAAATCATCAAAATATGGCAATGCGCGGATAACTAGAGTTTTACATGCACCATCTTTTTAATTTTCTATTTGATCATTAGTAAAATAATAATAATTCCTTTTAAGGTATTCTTTATAAGTAAAGCACAAGAAGTTGTGCATATGCTTGCAATTTGTTATTTAAAGTAGCTATTCCTTTTCTTCAAGGTTTCTTAAGTAATCTCATAATAGCCAGTGCTTAAAAGTGAAACTTTTCTAGGCTTTTTAAATGACTGTACATTCTTTTTTTGAAATATATTTCCTTATTTTCTTTAAATAGTTCATAAAATTATGTAATAGTACAATATTATTATATATAATACTAAAATTAAGGATGTCGTAAATTTATCTAAAGCCCTTTTTATAGCTAATATTTCTAAGAAGCCGGTAAGGCCTGGTTGGCAGCCATGCTGGTCATTTTTCTCGTAAAGGCCGAGGGTTTATTATTCGAGGTTGAATGGATTATTGGCAGTTTTCCACTGTTACGACTTAATACTTTAACCAATGATTTCAGCCTCCTTAGGACAGGTGTTTATTGTTTGGTGTGTTTAAAAACCTATGAATAACCAAATGGCGGTGGTCCTGGTAGGATAAGTTCCTGCTACCTTTCGATCTTTTTATGAATCATTACGCTGGTGAACACTTAATCTCTTATGCCCTCGACTAAAGCCACTCCTATCCTTGATAAAGTTAACATCTTTTGGTCAGTAATATTCAATTAATACCTTGCGTGAGGGAAGAACAATAACAGAATTGCAAGGTTTTTATAAAATTACCTTTTTTAGTAGACCTCTGGGTACATAGTTTTCGATAGCTCTAGGCACTAATAACTTCTTTAAGCTAAGCACAAGGCTTTTATTAATATTTACCAAGCGGTACAATACTTTTTAAGCTGCACGACAACTTATTTGTCTTCTGGGAGTAATCGTAAAATAGGTATATTTGTCATACGCGCTATAGTTGATCAGAAGTTATGGGGGCGGGGTTATACAATTTCCAAATTTTGTGCTGGTAGACTTCACTGTTCATAGCTGGCGGAGCTATGACGACATCCCCCAGTTTAGGTATGATAAATTTACGTAAATAATGGTTATAGTCAACTTGAAAGATTTACGCGAGTGGGTTTCTAACTAACAGTTGTCTGCTTTTGTGTAAAAAAACATAGATTAACCACATATATAATGTAATAACGTTTAAAAATTTACCATTATTCTTTTATATACGCGAGTTCACTAACAAAATTTGCTAATATACATGATGTTGGTCGCCGAGCTTAACTTTAATACCATTGTAGAAAGCTTTAATGTGAGGATGGTGATCCGTAAAAAGGTATGGAAACTTGAAAAACGTAATTTGGAAATTACCGAATATTAGCATTATAAAGATACATTAAAACTTGAATAGTGGTCAGAACCTTTAAAATATATTGGTTGTTCAGGTTTATATATACCTCAGGTATAAGTTTGTGGATCTGAGGACTAGAGAAACGGAGCTGTAAAGAGAATCGATCAGGACATAACGTTAATTATTTTAGCATATATATATTAATATTTAATTAAACTACACTATTATTTAGCGCAAAGCACTAAAAATATAGAGTATTAGAGATATTAAAAAAAATATCAAATAAGTTATTAACATGGGAAGAAAGAGCTTTCATAGTTGATATATACATAGCTTTACAAACATAATAGTGGAGGCTAATAATATTTTTAACAACTTATATAATGGACTATGGTTAATAGAAAAATAGTTGTAGTGTCTAGTAGTAACTTTTTGTAAAATCAATATTTTTTTGACGTTACGTCTGTATACGCTAATACAGCTAATAATAGTTTTTTAAGCAAAATTACACGGGCTGTGTTTACTTAAATTTTTCGAGAAAACATTAAGTACAAGATGAACGTACTTAGCTAGCCTTTCTTTATTTATTAGTTAGAAGATAACAGGTTTTCTTTGAATTTACAACCTATTTAATTAAAAAATAAAAACTGCATTTTGACTTTTTTATTTCTGTGTATACCAGTGTGGAATCAACCGCAACTCCAGAAAGAGTACGCCCCCAACGGGGAGCGATTCATTCTTTATAAGAATACACATTCGTCAACTATATTATAATAGAGTTGATAGTAATTAAATCGATTTTCAGTCTCTCTTTTTGAGGCTTCAATTAAAATATCTTCTTTTAATGCACCCTTAACCCCTTATAGGTTTCTGGTTACAATGTTTACCATTTGTCGTCTAGGTCCAACTTGCAAGAGTAGATCAATGGAAATTGACCCCAAACTATAGACACGGCCAATGAAACAATCCCTATTAAGTTAGGGCACCATGTTCTGGCGAACTAGGCATCAACCAACAAAAAAAAGTGGTAAATATATCTACCAGTGAACGTTAAGTTAAGCATATGCTACCGAGCTTTTTATTGGTCAAAAAAAAAGTGTCCAATCTGGATGTAAGGTTTATTTTTGGTTAGGTAGACAAGTAAACAATTGTTTTACTGTTTTAATTTGAAATATTAATTGGGTGGGAATATAGAATCAAGTTTTAAAAACAAATATTAAACTTTAAAGTATAGTTCCAACATAGGAAGTGATTTCGCAGAAAAAAACACAAATCTATTTTAAGCCCTAGAGTTTTGCCTGTTAAAGGGTGGGTAAGGGTCAAGTAACTGAAAAGGTGGTTAACATCCCAAAAGTAAAAGAATAGCATATTGGTTAATAATTAAGTGACTCAATTATCTCTCTACATCTACAAATTTTTTTTACAAAAACCAGTTAAGCCATTAAATATTTATAAAATGGGCCTTCTACGCGCCTAAAGGCTATGTAATAGTTGCAACTTATATTAATAAAAAGGCTTTTACGGTTTGGGACTAAAAAAGTTATGTAAACACGAACACTTCTATCTTTATTAAGAATATGATATTTAGTAAAAATTTGAGCTTTGATTATTGTACTTAGTCAAATACTTTTAATATTGTCTCTGCCTTTCCTCAAATGATAAATGTATTCGTATAAACTATTCTGTTATAAAAACTTTAAGGTAAAAAAGCACATAGCTTTTTATCACGTATTTTTGTTAGGAAAAAGTAGCATTATTTTATAGCCAAGTTCATCTATTTATTATGCTTCATTACGTTAACATAATATTTTTTTTAATATATTGAGAACTAAAGGCATCTTAAATAACTACAGATTCACAAAATTTCAGTTCTATATTTTCTTATAGACCACTTGGAACTCTAAGTTTTAAAAATATGAAGACTTTAAACAAAATTTTGATTTTTTAAGCCAGTTAGGGACGTTATATACGAAGCGGTTTATTGGCTTTTTATCACAACGATATTTTTTATGTAAGTGTAACTATTGAAGTAAAGTAATAGCGAGATTTATATCATAGATAATAAGAAACATTTTTATAAGTAACTAGGAATTATATTACATTTGATCCGTAGTTCAAAGCACAATATTAAGAAAAACTTTCTCATTACCAAGCATATCCTTTGAGTGCTTAATATACATATTTTTATTAATTTAATACATCGTCATAGTTTTAGAATCACTTTTTTTTACCTTAAATGATCTTATTTAACTTCTAAATTTTAGGTGATTACATCATTAAAAAAAACTTAAGCTTTTATAGAGGGCTGGTAAGCTTGTGTCACTAGATTAATAGGAAACCAAAATATTTACTGTAATTCATTTTTCTAATTTAGCGCTTAAAAAATTAACAGGCACAAGATAATAGTGAGAGAAGAATTTTACCATCTAAAGGAAAAACTTATATATATTATTCTCAAGGTCAAGAAAATTACATTATAGAGTTATAATTAATGTATAATAATCCCTTTTCCCCTTATTAAAGTGATCATATGGTAAAATTAGAGTTTGTCTTTAACTACAAGTAAATTTCTATTATTTTATTTTTACTTTAAAATAATCATTTATTGTATTTCATTGTTTTTAAATCTATTTATATATTCCTCGAGAGTTGAAAGAGACTAGAGACCACTTTTTGCTTTGAGCTATTAATGGGTCTCTAGTAAATTAATAAAAAATTAGCGTTAAGTATATATAAATTTATAGCCAAAAGTCTAGTCCGAAGTAAAATTAGATATATATAATATCTTATTACCGCAAGTTAGCGCTTAAGTTACTAAATTTGAAACCAGAGAGCTCTTTTTTTTTTTCCAAGTATTTTTTACCAAGTATTATGGTTGCGCGGTACTCAAACTATATACATTACAAATCCGCATAGCTTTAGAGAATTTTTTATATTAAAATATAATCAGCCAGTGTTATATACACTTATGTGGTATACCCTTTACTTTAACTTGTCCTTTTATTAGTAATTAATAATTTCAAAGTTATAAAGTAAAACAAAAATTGAAAAACCTAAGCTTAGAAACTTAAAGACTTAAAAAGAAAATTATATACAAAAAATGCTTATATTGTTAACGTAGTCATATTCGCAACAAAGCACCTTATATGCAAGGTTAAACCAGCAGTAGAAAATATAGAATTTCTAAATTAGTATTTGTATTGCCTTTTATAAATATTCATCTGAGAATCCCTAAATGTCTAATAATTACCTTCAAAAAGGCTAAATTTATCGTTTTAACTATTAAATAAAGTAAAATCACTTTAAAATTCTTATCTTTTTAACGTTAACAGATTGACAAAAAGATATATTGTTAATTCTAAGCTATAAATTTCTTTTAAAACAAAACATATAGATGAATGGTTTTATTTGCGATCAAGCAATAATCGTACATTTACTTTTTAACAAATTTACGACACTTTAAACGACAACACAAATTTATCGTATAAGTATTATGCAATATAATCTCGCATTTCTATCACATTCCTCTAGCTACAAATAGTTTATCGATTATAATTTTTAAATACCAACTGACAGTGTATAAAAAAAGTATGACATATATATTATAAAAAAAATTTCGAGTCAAAGTTTGAATTAAAGAAAAATATATACACATCGAAAAGGTATAAAAAAAGGTTGTTTGTTAGAATGTCAACTGCAAAAACTAATAATATAAAGAAAAATTCTAGAAAAGATGATGCAATCTCTCCAAATATTTCATCAAAAAGTAATCCAAAAAATGATAATGAAAAAACTATTAAATCGTTGACAAGTAGATGGAACACAAAAGATAATAAAACGGTTCAAGAAGATCTTACATCACCAGAGGGATATCAAAGCCAGAACCTAAAAAGATCACGGGCTTACGTTACTAATGATTTTCAAGGGAGTCGCTCAGTAAAAAGAAACTTATTTGGGCCAATCGACCATGCTAAGTTAAATAGAGAACTCAAATCAGATATGGAGTTGATTCTCGAAAATAAAAAAGAGAAGTGGGACTTTGACTTTTTAAAGGGAAACCCCGTAGAATATGATGAGAAAATGATTGACAAACAAACTTATGTTTATTTAAACCATGAAAAAAAAAAAAACGGAAATATGGCAAAAGTCAACCAAACGCACCAACACCAAAGAGAAAATTAGTGAGAGGTGAATAGGCTTGTTCATTAATATATTTGTGTAAAAAAGTTAAACGCAAGTTTTTGCAGTGAAAGTTGTGAAGCTGAAAGAGTTATAAATATAAAACCTATATATCTATAACTCGTAAATTATGTTATTTCTGCGCAAACATACAACTATTTACGCTTGTTCTTCCTTTTATAAAAATTTGATATCCCTATAATAAATTTATAATATGAAAAAAAATTTCTTGCGCTCCCTCTATATAATATACTACGTATTAAGTTACTAGTATATTTGACTGTAAATAATTTTAAATTCGACAAAAATAACAAAAATGAAGTTTAATATTATTTTATTGAATTTAATAAATATATTATTTTATTTTCCTTTTTCCTTCTAATATATCTTTGGCTTCGTTAATTTTTGAGGCTAAAAAAGGAGACCCACCTCGGTCGGGATGATTAGCTAACATGATTCTACGATGAGCTTCCCTAACGCGTTTGATAGGTGTAGCAGGACTAAAAAAATATATTTATTATAATGTGATTATATGAAAAGGCAAAAGTAGTAACCTAATTCCTAAAATAAGGGCAGCTTCCCTTTTCGACATTTTTTCCTCAAAACCTCCTTTATAAAAATGTTTTAACTTTGCAAATGAGGCGGTATTTTTAACTTTAAAATTCGGTCTTTTAAAAATAATAAGTGGAAAAAAAACAATAAAAAGTTATTGAATAACCCTTGTAATAGTTTTTTTCCAAACTTGCTCAGAAAGGATAAGCCAATAAGACCTAAACCCAATATTATGGGGCCAGACTAAATAAAAAAAATAATTCCAAAACTTAATATATTTTATAAACTTAAAAAAAGGAAACACCTAAATAACAAGATTAGAGTAATCAATACCAAAAACAAGATTAGAGTAAACAATACGAGAAAAGGGCAATAAAAAAAAATCTAAGCAAGAAAAATTAAAAGCCTCATATATAGGGATAATAAAATCGCAATAAAAGTTACAAAGCATAAAAAAATTAAAGTAGAGTTATAAATAGTAACCATTGTTAAATTATAATCCTTGAGCTAAAAAAATGAAATTTAAAAAAAGAAATCAAAAGTTCATAATTCCAGGAATCTAAGTAATTTAATTTTAAAATTTAAAAAAATTATAATAGAAGTTATTTACACACACAAAATTCGAGAAGAAAGATTACCAAGGCGAAGACCGCTGCGACCACCTAACAAGTCTGTTATGCCCTGGCATCCCTGAAGTTTTAGCATGTGATTTTCGCTTTAATAATTTAAATAGTTGACCACTAGGTAAACCCAACCCGCTTGGTTTATAGTTTGCGTAATGTTTTGCTATTAAAGTGGCATTACTTTGAGTCTAGCGATTGTAAGAATGTGAGTATTTTAAACATTATATATATATAACTTTATAAAAAATTAAAATATAAGAAATGTGTTTAATTCTACTACTCATTTTCAAGCTAAGTTAATTATATGCTATTAATAAATTTGTGATAGGTTATTTTTTAAAATTATACTGAAGAAAGTAATATTACGTATATATTTTTTTTACTATGACTCTTTAAAGAGTATAATAGAGAATTAGAAAAGACTAAACTTTAAAATTTGGGGCTCTTTATCATATAAATCGAGGAACAAAGAAATGATTACCGTGAATAATACATTTCATTATAATATTAATAGTACGGTGTAATTATTTGTTATCAAAAAAGCCTTGGATATATAGTAGTTGGGAGCACCGCCGTTAAACAACTTTTAAAAAGTCTTTTCCCTCAGGTCCTTATTTAGAGGCTTCTAAGTAGATGCACTTACAAAACCGGCTTAACTAAGCTTAATTCATATCTCATTTGCTTCTATACTCTGTAGCTCAAAACATTTTTAAAAAGTGTTTTAATTCATTTTCCAGAAGAGTTCATGCACCTCCTTTCTCTATATTATTATGGTTTACTCAGCAAGTCGTGTAGTTACGGTTGCAAAACTTATCACCACTCTTCAGGTGAGTTTAAAAGATCAGAGCATGATTCAAAATCCTTTTTTTAATTAATTTCCTTTGTTTTTAATCCCAAATCTCGTTAGTATTAAAAAATTTTCCATTATTTGTTTTAATCAACTTCTATTGTTTAACTATAAAAATAATCACTTATGAACCTAAGTCTTTGTGGACTTATGGTGTATATTAAAAATAGCACCGGTTGGCTATAATCTTATCTTGGTGTGCACCTCTGTCTGCAGATGCTTAAGTGTAATGGGTTATATTGTCTTGTTTTCGAAGCTTATTTTTTTTTAAAGCAAACTCTTATAACTAGTAGAGTGTTTATCTTTCAAGTTAGCGCAAGTTAATTTATTTTCTTCCTAAGGCACGACATGAAATCATAATTTCACCGCTTTTAACGCTTCCCTACTAAGAAATACAAATTTTTATGGTAAAAAATTGTCCATTTCTGCTTTTCTTTATTATAATTTAACGAAGTTGAATATTTTTAACATTTAAAATAGAGACTTTTAATTATATTTCAGCATTCTTTTAACTTTTTTTTATCGGACAAAAATACTGGTATTCTAGGCCCAACTTGATGCCCTTTACTTGCATTTCTTTAATGACAAAAAAGACTACTTTAGGTGCTTTCTCAGATAGGAGAGCCGGAATGTATAATTTTATAATCCCATCGGAATCTAAAATATCTATTTTTTTAGAATACTACAAAATAAACTTGTTGTTTCGTATAGGAGGCATCCCAAGTTATCATCGCTGATACTGTTTTTTTCAGCGTTGTTAGCTTTATTATTATAATTATTTTATTCTAAATTTACTAATTTCAGTATTATTGTAGTTATTGTTCCTGTTCTAATAAACTATTTTTATCTTTAAGAATTTAATACCGTAATGGATACTATCATATAAATCATTATTATTACTCTAGGAAACCTCTGCCATTTCAGTCTTCTAAAAGCGTCAACTTTTAAGTCTAAACTTTGCCTAAAATCAGTAACGCGGAATTTTAGAATCAATTTTGTAGCGCAAGTTTTAAAGACAATATCTTTCCAGTCATTTTTATTTAAATAATAAAACTCGCTTCAAGCATTTTAACTCTTTCTTAGAGCAAAGTTTGTAACTAATAGAGTAGCAAAAAGTTTTTGCTGTTCGACACTAGCTAAAGAGTGCTTATCACGTTTTTTTAAAAAAAAAAATAGAATATAAAGTGGTTAATAGAGTTAAATGCAAAATAATAGTTTAAAACTAAATATATATAAGTTGTAAGTTAAAAAACAAACAAAATATTTAGCAAAAGTAAGGTAAGTATAAATAGTAAGTTGAGTAAGGATAGTATAATAGTTATAGTAAGTTCGCACTACAATAGCAGACAAACCCGCCTTTAATTTTAAGTTTAGTGTTATTTTTTTAAAAAAATAGTTGTGTGGATGGTCGTGTAAATATCAACCATAAACTTTTTAGTTTCTCTATTTCAATTTTCTTTATATACATATATACCTTTTATATTATTATATTTCAGTTGCACTTTAAAAATTCGTCTGTGAATTCACACATACCTTCTTGCTTTGTAAACACCCTTACAGTAGCTTTATTTATTTGGCTTTCCATTTTATTTAAAGTTTATGGTTAAACCTTTTTAATATCACACAAAAATAGAGTTCTGACGGTAATAATATATATATATTTACATAAATTTTGAAAGTAATTTGATATACAATTAATTAAAGCAAAAAACACCGCAAATTATTTAATGTTTCGAGTTTAGCAATATTATATTAAAAATTATATTATTAAATTTAAATTCTCTAGTAAAACTGTTATTAAACTTTATACATAATTTTATTTTAAGAGAATAAAAGACTTCATGTAACAAACTACAAAATTATAAAAAAAAAACTATTTTCATTAGACTAAAAATTGTTATTTACTTGCAATATTTATTTAATAAAAATTACTTATTTTTTTAAAAATTTTGAAAAGTAAGAAATGAGATATAATTAGAATTTTTAAAGCAAACTAACTTAAAAAAATGTGGCAATCGTAAAAAAAGTTTTAACTATGTAACAAACGGGGTGTAGACTTTAACTTTCTTGGGGGGCTCTTCTGTTTTTCCCTCGTTTGTGCTGAAAAAGACTTCTTTTTACTTGTACTTTGTAAGTTGAGTAAAAAGTAAATATTAAAAAAAGTTAATTTAGTTTTCTTTTAAACCTAAAAAAAAAGTTTTAATGTTATTTATACTTTAATAAAAGAATAGTAAATTTGTATAAAATTTTATATAATAAATAGTTATAATAAATAATAAAATGCAAAAATTATTTTAAGAAAAATAATAAATATTTAAAATCCATACACCCTTTTATAAATTTAAATAAGTAATAAATACTGTTTTTTATATAAATAAAGAAATAATTACAAGACATATCGTCTTTTTTTCATTAAAATTTTTAAGTTCTTGTAAAATACCTCGGCAAACTTTAGCTACTATCTGTATGTAACAGTTTTTATATTTTTTATTTAATTTGCTTTAGCAATATAATAAACCATGCTTGAGGAATTGACCGAAAAGCATAACTCTTCCGAAGATGAAAAGAGAAGGGAAGACTATGATTCTATCGAGAAGTTAAGTACTTTGGAAGGTCGAGAGGAGGAGGAAGAAGATCGTGAGGATCCAGAAGATGCCATGCCTCAAGTCTGACTAATTTACTTAATAAAATGTTATACTTTTTTATAAAAATATATTTTTTTATTAGATTCAAGAGAGATGCCGAATTTCTCATTGTTCATCCTTCATTCAAGAACTTGAAAAGTGTACTGCCCGCGTTAACAGCAGAAAGAAAACAACAGAAACTTGTCAACAGGAAGTTTACGATTTAATGGAATGTGTGAATCACTGTGTATGTAAATTTATAGCTTCTCTATTTATTTTTAATTATTTTTTTTTAGGCTGCTAAAAAAGTTTTTCAAGTTTTGAAATGAATATTTCTATCAAGTTATAGCAAGTTAATAATAATAAATACACTTTTTTTTAGAAATATATTATTTTGAAAACAATAAAAAAAAAATTATAATAAATTTTTAATTTTTTTATTGTAACTTCAACTTTTTTAACTAAGGTTTAATTTTCAGAATGTCAACTTTAATAGTTTCATTTTTTCGATAGCTGGAACTTCTTTAGTACTTAAATTTAATTTCTCCGCCTGTTTTTAGTAAATATATTAAATTTTCTTAACAGCTTTAAGGCTAAATAAAAAAAATTCTCGGTTATTATTTTTATTAATACTCAATACTTGATCTCAAAATTTACTTGGTTCTTTGCTTTAGCTTAAATAAATTATATTAAATTCTATGTAATACAATTTTTTTAGTTTTTAAATAAAAATTTAAAGTCTTTATAAATTAGAAACCAATTTTATAAAACAAATTTAATTTTAACAGAAAATTACTTGTTGAAGATGAAAAGTGACGTCTAAACACAATTGCTTTTTAATGCGATCTTCATCGGTTGGGCCGGTTTTATGATTAATTTTTCTAATTTTTCGCAAAGCAAGCAAACTTTTTTCCGTACTTTCCACGTTGCAAAGAATTTCAGAGATAACTGCGTAGTAGCTAAAAGAAAAGTAAGAACATTAGCTATTTCAATTTTTTTATAGAATTTTAATTTAAAAAAATATTAATTGTATTCAGATTAGAATTTATTTTTATTTGGTAAGCGTATTCTACTAGATTCACTTAATTTAGATCCAGATTGTGGTAAAGTATTAAAAATCTAATATTATTAGATGATTAAATAAAAAATTTATAAATTAAAGTATAAACCGCAGTTGCTTAGCGAATAAGGTCAGTTTTCCTTAAATTTTAAAAATAAAAAGAATCAAATTATAAATTTTTGGTAAATACTATAAGAAGCGCCATGACAAAAAATTATTTCCATAATATTACATCCAAATTCAGAATTAATTGTAATTTTTATTTAAGAAAAATATCAAAGCTGAAGTTCTTTATTTTTATTAAAAAGAACAAGAACGTGGTTTTATTATCGGCTGTCGCGCTTTACTACGTTTGAATTTATGGACACGTGCAAGAAAAAAGAATTATAAATCATTTTTAATTTTCCACTTTAATGAATTCTTAAAAAAGTTAATTAAAAAAGTTTTTGTAATTCTCCTTTAGTTTCTACAATAATAATTTACTTAAAAAGTTAATCAAAAAGGTTTATAACGAAGTTATTAGAGTATAAAATTTATGAAAGATCTTTTCCTCCATAGTTTTTATACACTTTTAAGGATCATTGAAAAGATTTTTAATGAAATATGTATGGAGTAAATATTTTTGATAAAAAAGTAAATTAAAATTAAAATTATATTAAATAGTAATCTTGGGGGGGGGAGGGGGGGAGTTTCAAACTTTATATAAAATATTAATATATAAAAAATAAACAAATATATGGAGTGTAAAAATAAGTATGAGTTAAAAAAAAAGAAAACAAGTAAAATCTTTAATCATAAATAAATAATTATAACTATTTTCATATAAGACTTTTGTAAATATTTTTTATAAACATTTAAAATTTTTTAAAGAAAAAGAAACCAACAAACAAAATTTTTAAAGCAAAAAAATATTAGATTACTTTTAGAACCTTTTATAAGAAAAACAAAAAATTATAATTTTTATTTAGCTGGAAGATTATTATAAATATTCAAAATTTTTAAAACTACAATTTTTTAAAGTTTTAATTCAGAATGTTTAAAAAAAAAATTAAAATTTAAAATCATTGCGAAAAATAATTATAATTAATATCTTTAAAACATTTATTGGATAAAAATCAAAAATTTTGTAAATAATTTATTTACTGGAGTTTATCGAAACTATATAAAAACTTTTTTTAATAAATTAAAAAAGAATACTAATTGGTGGTTTCTTCAAAAACTTCAATTTCTTAAAGTTTTTAATAACAACTTATAAAAACAACAAAAAGAAAACTTTTTCCTATTAAAAAAAATTTTGGAAAAAACTTTGATACTGACAATTTCTTGTAAATTTTATATAAATAATATATTAAAATTGATTGGTAGTTTTTCGCATAACTTGAATTCTTTTAAGTTCTTAATCACAATATTTATAAACAACAAATAAGAAAACTTTTTTTTAAAGAAAAAATTAAAAAATTTGTATTAATAATTTTTTTTAATGAAAGTTTATTGTAAATTTAATAAAATTCCTAAGAAATAAATAAAAGGGAAAACTGATTGACATCTTCAAAAACTTCAACTTTTTTTGTTTTCCAGTAAAATATTCAAAAAAGTAATATTATATTATTTCTGAGAAAACTTTTATAATATTAATAAAAATTCTTATAAATAATTTTTTTAGTCGTAATTATTATAGATATTTCAATATTTTTATTAAAAATTAAAAAAGAGAAAACTGTTCGGTGATTTCTTCTAAAACTTCAGTTTTTAAGTTTAACAAAATTCCCTGCGGAAGTAGTGAAGCGTCAACAACTTCTTTTAATGGCTTTAAAATATCCGAAGCAAAATATGATTGACTGCTCGGCATCTTGAATATAAATATTTATTAATAATGATGGTTATTACATTTATCATATATTATATTTATTAAGGTTTTATTATTATTTTTTATTATTATCAACATATTATAAACTTTTTGTAACAATAGCAGTTTTATACAATCAATAAAATGTGTATATATTACATTAAATAGTAAATTAACTATTTTTATTATAAATTTAAAGTTAATAATAATAAATAAGGAAGCTTGGTCGATAAGAATTGGATTTTTATTAGTTTTAATAACAATAATTATAAAGATTACTATCTTTAAAAAAGTTTCATGCATACTAAAAATATTATATTATACATAATAATAAAATATGTAAAATAATTTTAAATAAAACTTTTTTATTACCAAAAAGTAAAAAGGATATATTTTATTGTAGACATAAAAGTAGTGTAATTATTTTATATAATAACAGTGAAGTAAACTCGATATATTAAAAATAAAAATATTTACTTTAAAAAAGTTATATAAACTTAGACTTTTTTTATATTTATAATAAAATTTTTAATATTTTCAAACTAATAATAATAAAAGTTATTTTAAAAGTAGAACAGTCCGTCTTTATTAAACTTTATTATAAAAGAATATAAAAAACAGTTAATATTAATATTATACTTCTCAAAAAGTAAATATCAAAAAGAAATTTAAAGTTTAATTAATGTATAAAATCTATTCCATTTTTTTGTTTATAAGCAAAAAATCAGTAAATCTTATAATAATAATACTTAAAAGTTTTAAGAAATAACATTATTATATATAAATCCTTATAGAAAAATAATATATCTTTAAAATAAATTTAGTATTAACTTTTATTGTAACTAAAATTTATAAAAAGTTTTGTTTTTACAATTTCTTTTTAAAAAAATATTTAAAATGTTATTAGAAAAGTTTTATTTACAAGAATTTCTTATTTTAAAAAATATATATTAGAATTAAGTAAGAAAGTTTTTTAATGATTAGAGTAATTAAAGTTTTCCAAATAGTAAAGATACTGATAAAGTAATTCAATATAAAATAATAAGTAGAAAATAGAAGATTTTACTTTAAAATTTTTTTATAGTAAAAAGAAAAAGAAAAAAAGTATTGTATAAAAAAAATTTTTTAAAAAAAGTTAATATTTTTATATTCGTAATATATAATAAAAGTTTTAGTTTTATAATAAATAATAATAAACTTTTTCGTTAAAATTTTAATAATGATTAAAAATATCAAAACGATTAGAATTAGTTTTAAAATATACTACTACTACTACTATTATTATTATTATTAATTATAATAATATCAATAATTTTTAAAAAAAAATAAATTCAAAACATCTTGTGCTTGTCCCCGAAAAAGGCTCGTAATCGTATATGTTTTGTTGAGCGCTCGTTCGCACTGCTCCATTATTGAATTCTTCAATATCTAATAAAAGTATTTATTTATCATTATTATTTTTTTAAGTATCGAAATATATAAAAGTCTCAACTTTAAAGTAGTATAATAAGTTTTTACCCATTATTTTTTTATTTACTTATTATTTTTATTAGTAATAGTTTAATAAGTATTCATAGTTAATAAAAATATGAAGTTATTAATATTAATAGTACAATGAACTTTTATTTATTTATTTATTATTTTATGAAAATCGCAACTTTAACAAACTGTAGCGGGTTTCATTTTATTACTTCTTAATTCTTTATTTAATATTATAAGCGATAATTGTAGTAAATAAAATATGTTAACATTGAAATGGTTTAACGAATTTTTAGTTAATTAACTTTTATCTATTAATTATTACTATAAAAAACTCGATTTATCTAAACTAATACAACGAATTTCTTTTTTCTAATTAATTATTATCTATAGTGAACTGTCCATAATGATTAAGAAACTAAATGATGGAGAAAGAGGGGAGCAAATCAATTTTACCTTCAGAAAGGTATACAAAAATGTACAAAATGGGGAATAAACTTGAAACACATGGCATGGGCAAGTGATATAATAAAACATGGTATATGTACCGCGTGGATGAGCACGTGGATTATTAGAGATAATCCAACGCTAAATAAAGTAGTGCTGAAGCGTAACTTTTCTCTTTAATTTTTTTTTCATTAAAAATTTGACTACTGCCAAAACTAAAAATGGAGAAAAACTTTTGGTAAAAACTGCTTTATTATGAATATAAAAATAATAATGTATAATTAATTTAAGGTAATTAGAAAGATTTTTTATTATATCCTCATTTTTTGTATATACTTTTTATATATTTTTTCAATTTTTTTTCAGTTTTCTTTAATAAATTTTATAAGATTAAAAAAAGAGTAGCATTTAAAAAATTTAAAAATAGTAAATAATTTAATATCTTATATAAAAATATTAATATATTCACTTAAAATTTTTAGGAGCACAAGCACAGATTGTGACTGGCCAAACTAAAGTTATGCGAATGCTTAATGAACAATCACTCGAAAGTGCACCAATAAATATTATTTTATGTGACTTGTCTTTTTCCTATTTCCTTTATCCTCAATTTAATTATTATTATTAAATTTAAATTTTTATTATTAAAAATAATTATGAAAAATAATAATTATTTGGTGTTGGTGTTTTCTTTTTGTTTCTGCAGAGTTTATTGTAGTAATAAAAAAAGTTTTTTTATCATTATTTTTTATTTTCTTTAAACTTTTTTATTAAAAATAAATTTTTTTATATTTATTTTCATTTATTTCATACTTTCCTTATTGTTAGTGCAACTCTTTGTTGGGCTTTTATTAAAACGAGAGCCTTCAGCACTGCAAATTCTAAAAGCTGAGCGACCCATAGATATCCTTAAAAAACCGCTTTAACCGCTCAACCAATAAATTTAATCGTAAATTTAAAATGAATAATGATTTGATTATACGAAAACTACCGCTTTATTTATATAAAAAGGAAACCAGTAACAAACTAGTGCACATTTTGTAGTGAACTATATTTCTTTATATTTTGAGTATTTTAAAATATAAACACCAAAAAAAAAAAATTATAGCTATAAATATATTTCTATTGTTTGTTAACTTTTTAATAGTACTTTATAATTTAATAAAATAATAATACAAAGTTTCGTTTATTTTTCTATTAAATATATTAAAAGTTTATAAATTTTAATATAATAAAAAAAATTTAGTAAATATAATAAATATAAGCTTTTTAATGAAGAGTATACTTTTCTATTATTATTTTATATATATAAATAAAACTTTTTCAAAGAGTTCAGTCAGAGTAATAATTCATTAAAATATATAAAACTTTTTAGATTTCATTATAATAAAACATTTTTGAGCGTTAAAAAAATTAATAATTATAATAATGATAATGATAATAATAGTAACAATAATAGTTACACTTTGAAAGAAAGTAGCTTGCGAGGTGAGCATTTTGAAAGGAGAACACTCGCTAAGTAAACAGGAAAACTTTTCCCGAACTTTTTCGTCGAGACACCCGTGAAGATCATTCAGGATATTTTCGTGCAGTTCAGGAAGCTGAATAAAAATAATAATACTAAAATTTTAATAATAATATATTATTTAAACAAGGTGAACATAATAAGTAAAGTAAAAGAAATTTAAAAAAGTCTTTAAAATAATATAATATTTAACAAAAGTTAATAAGAATAAAAGTATTATAGAAAAAACTCTTTAATATGATATAACATATAAGAAAAGTTAATAAAAATGAAAGCAAAATAAAAGAAAACCTTAAAAAGTTGATTAAAATATAAAAGTATAATAAATAAACTCGATAAAATAATAAAATCTATTGATTAAGTAAAAAAAATAAAAAGATATAAATTTTTTTTTATATCAAAAAAAGTTAACAAAATATAAAAGTAAAATTTATTTATTTTATAATAATATAAAATTTCAAAAGTTATAAATAAAAGTAAAATGAAAAAACTTATATAATGATATAATTTTAAATAAAGTAAAAAAATAAAAGGAAAATAATAATAAAAATCTTTAATATATATAAAAAAATATAAAAAATATAGAAAATAAATTTATTTTTAATATAATATAATATTAAGAAGATAAAAAATAAAAGTAAAATAAAAAAACTTATAGTAACAAAATATTTAAAAAAAAAGTTAATAAAAAAAACTGTATATAAAAATCAATAGTAAAATAAAAACAAATAAAAGTTAAAAAATTCGTTTAATATTTAATAACTTAAAAAAAATAAATATAAAATAAATATATTTTTTTTTGTTATGATATAAAATTTATGAAGATTAAAAGAAAAAGAAAAATAAATTTATTATTAGAATATAATATTTTTTAAAAGAAGAAAAAAAATTAATGTAAAATAAATTTTTTTTTATAATAAATTAAAATTTAAAAATAAAATAACAAAGAGAAGTAAAATAACTTTTTTTATAGAATATAATTATAAAAAGTTTAAAAAATAAAAGTAATAAAAAATATTAAAAGTGAAAAGTAATATATATATATATATTAAAAATATATTTTTTAAAAGAATATAATATTTAAAAATTAATAAAAGTGAAAAAAAAATAAAATATATTAAAAAACTTTTTCAAAGTATATACACTTAAAAATTATATAAAACCACTTTTCAAAATATTAAATATTAATAAACGGCCTAAAGTAAAATAATAATATATTAAGGCCTTTTAAAATAATGTAATATTTAAATATAAATAAAAGTAATGAAAATATCTAAAAAAAACTTTTTAAAAATATAATATTTATAAAGATATATTAAAACATTTTTAATAATATAATATTTAAATGTTAATAAAAATAATAAAAATTTATTAAAAACTTCTTCAAATAATATAAAAAGTTAAAAGTTAAAAGTAAGAAATATAATAATTTTTTTTTAAAAAAAGTTGAATTTAAAAAATAATATACATAAAAAATTTTATAATAAAATTGTAAAAGAATAATATTTTAAGAAAACTTTTGAAAGTAATATAAATATTCTTAAAAAAAATTCAAAGTAAATAACAAATATACAATAAAAACTTTTTTTTAATAATTAAAAATAATAATAGTTTGGTATAAAAAAACTAAAATAAACTTTTTATATGATTAAAAAATTATTCATTATTTATAAAAACTTTCATATACATGAAAATTTTTATAAGCAAAACTTAATAAAAAACAAAAATTAGTGAAGTTGAGCAATAAAAAACGCACGTGATTGGAAAGTGCCAGGAGATCATGAAGCAGAAACATTGTGTGCTTGTCTTCCAAAATTGTGTTCAGGTTTTTCTATAATAATAATAATTAATTAAAAATAATTGGAAAAAAGAGTGAAATAGTAAAATTGATATGTAAATAGATGAGTATATAATAATAATTATATATGAAGTAAAAAATAATAAGTTTCAAATAATTAAATGAGTAAGTATTTGATAACATGTAAAAAAAATTATTACAAATATAAAACAAATAAATATTATAAATAATAAAAGTATATCAAAAGTTAAAAAAGTTACCATAAAAATAAGTAAACATAAACAGTAAATAAAAATAATAATGTATAATAAAAAATAGAAAATATTTCAAAGTTAAATAATAATAATAAAAGATAAAAATAAATATATAACAAGTTAATATAAAAAAAATTTGTAATAAATAATAAAAAAGGTTAAACAAAGTAAATATTAATGATATCAATACATATATAGAAGTTTATTATAAAAATAAAGTGTTACAAAAAAAATAATATAAAAAGTTATAAGAAGAATAATAAAAAAATTATATTTAAATAAAAAGAAAATAATAAAATAAACAAGTTTCCTATAAATTAAAAAAATGCTACCAAAGTAAAAAAAGTTAAAAGAAAAAATTTAATTTGTACGAATAAAATAAATATTATAAAAAATAAGAAGAAAGTAATAATAATAATATGAACATAAAAATAAATAATGAATAATAAAATTCTACAATAAAAAAAATAAAGCAGAAAAATAATATTTTAACATTATTACGATATAAAAATAATTATAAAATAAATATAGTAAAGAATAAATAAAAATATTATAAAGAAAATATATATGAAATATGATAATAATAATATTATTATTATTTACTACTTAAGTAATATAACAAATAAAAATATATAAAGATAATATATTAATAATAACAAACTTTTTATACGAAAAGCAATAAATAATAGAAAAATAATAAATTTTTTATAGAAATACAATTTATTATAGTAATATTAACTTTTACTATTTAATAAAAGTAAATATAATAAAAAAATACAAATATAATAATAATTAACTTTTATATAAAAAACAAATGGACATTAATAAAAAAAGAATATGGAAGATATAAATTATTATAGTAATAATAATATTAAATTTTATTAATAAAAATAATAATAAAAAAATGCAGTAATAAAATATTAATATAACGATAAAAGTAAGAAACTTTCTATAAGAAAACGAAATAGTAATAAAAAGATAATAAATCTTTTATAGAAAACAATTATTACAATAATAATATTCTTTTATTATATAAAATTTTAAATAATATAAAAAAAATAAATATAAATAAGATTAAACTTTTTTATATGAAGAAAAAATTAAAAATAATATAAAAAAAATAAATATAATAATAAACTTTTTCTATAATGTAAACAAATAAAAATGAATATATTACTTTTATATAAAAAAATAATTGATAACAAAGAAAACCAAAAAAAATATTCAAAAAACGAATAATAATAATAACATATAAACTTTTATAGCTTTTTTATTAAAATATTATAAATAAATAACTTTTATTTAGTAAATATAATAAAATAATAAAAACTATAATTTGCATAAGAATTATTTATACTAGAAGTCAATAATAATAAAAAAATGAAATTTAAAAATTAATTTAAATAAAAATAAAATAATAAATATGAAAAGTTATAATAATAATAAAGTCAATGAGAATGATAATAAACTTTAAAAAGTCAATATAATAAAATATAATATAGAAAGTTATAACTTATCAATAATAAAGTTAAAGAAATAATAGTAAACTTTAAAATAATAAGTATACAATAAAAATATAAGTTATAGAAAAGAATAATACTTTAAAATAATAATAAAAATACAATAAAAATATAAAAAGTCAGTTATAATAATTATAATAAAGTCAAAGAAAAATAATAATAAGAATTTTAGATAGCACCAGATTGGTATCACTTAGGTACAGTATTACCCAACCGGCGCGACACTGCGCCAGCTTAGCTAACCACGTGATAAAATAGTCACCTGAGACGAATCCGGAACCAGGTCTTTCAGCCAACGATCAAAGCGAGAAAAAAGCTGCAACAAATCAATAATTAAAAGTTTTTTTTGCATGTTAAAATAAGTGAAGTCTAATTATTTTTTATGTTAAATTATATTACTGGATTTGAATTTCCAATTAATGAAGTGTCTATTTTTTTTACAAAATTATATGTAATATAATGAAATCTGAAATTTTTTATATAATAAACCTTTTTTTACTGAATATTATTTTATATTAATGAAGTCTAAACTTCATTTTACTGAATATTATCTATAAATAATAAATCTGAACTCTTTTAACTAATAACTTTTTTTAATGAAGGTTTTTAAATAATGAAGTATAATTTTTTTTTATTTGGTGGTTACCTTTTTTTTTATCGAATGTTATATTAAAATAATGAAATATAAACTTTTCCTAACGAAAAACCTTTTATAACAGAATTTTGTTTAAAATAAGGGTCTAAATCTTTTTATAATCATATTTATTTCTCACTTTCAAAATATTATATATAATAAAAAGTTTGAAAAATACAAACTTGAAGAAAAAGTTTCCAAAAACGATGAAGCAAAGGCGGTAAAAATAAGCTTTTGTTCCATACAAGCCGGCAGCAGCGAATCAAACTTTCACTTACACTCAACATGTATTTTGAATGGTTCACATCTGGATAGTACAATTAGAATAGTGAATTATAATAAGAAAAATAAATTTATTCTTATTTTATATATAATAAAATAAAATTAAAGTTTTATAATAATATTCATAAAGATGTAAATATATAAATATTTTCATTAAACATTTTATTAATATTAACTAAAATTTAATATTTTTTTAATAAAAAATATATTGATAATAAAAGTTATTATTAATATAATGATAAATAATGAAAAAGTAAAAAAAAATATTCATACTTTCTTTAAGATATAAAGAAGATTCCAATATGCCAGCAATTTCCTGATACCTGCAAAAAAAAGTGTACAAGAAAAAAAGTATGAGTAAAGTCATTTTATTTATTATTTTTATAAATATATAATTATAATAAGTTTTTATTTTCCAAGTGTTTATTATTTTTATTATATAATATATATAAAAAGTAATTCTTTTACTTTTTTAAAAAAAAAATATCATAATTATATACTGAAATGCATAAAAGTTTTTTTTAAACATTTTTTGTATATAAAAAGTTTTTATTTTTAACTTTTATATAATATAATATGAAAACCTTTTTTTTTCATTATTTATTTTATTATATAAAAATATAAAATGGGTCTCGTTTATTATTTTCATAGTAGAATTAATAAAAAAGTAAATATTTTTTTTCTTTTCTTATATTAAATTATGAGAAACGTTTTTATATTATTTAATTTTTATATAAAAATATAGAAATAAAGAGTTTCATTATTTCTACTGTTTATTATTTTAATATTTAAATTCATGAAAAAGTTTTAATTTATAACTTTTTTTATATAAATTATAAAGAATTAGATATTTTTATTATATAAAATTAATAAAAATATTTCTTTCTACTTTTCAAAGATATATAAAAAATAAAAATTATAATAAAAAATATATATGAAAAATTTTTATTATTAACTTTTATTTAATATAATACGAAAAAAAATTATTTATATTTATTTTATTAAAAAAATTTATTCTTTTTTACATTTAAAAAATATAAAATACTTTAGACCTTTTATAAATAGAGAAAACCTTTTCAACATTTTCTCTTTATTTATTACTAAAACTTTCATTTTTTTTTTTTAAGAAAAATAGTGATAATATTTTTTATTGCTTTTTGTTCTATTATAAAATAAACTTTCGATTTTACTGTTTTTATATAAAACAAGAAGGATCAACTTTTTTGTTTTATATCTACTTAAAGTTTTTTTAATAATGGAATATAAGAAACTTTTTTTTTCAAACCTCAACTGATAATAAACCGAAAGAGTCCATTTGCCCATAAACTCGGACTTGTGCAGGCAAAACTTTTTTACAGCCGCAGGAGTTTCATAAAAAGACTTGAAATTTTGAATAAACAAAAGGGTTTCTGAATAGTTCTGTAAAAAAAGTTTTTTTTATTTAATAATAATAATAATAAAAGTTTCTAAATAGTTATTTATAGATAAAAAATAGAAGTAGACAAAAAAAGAGTTCTTAAGAATAATAATAAGTAAATATTTCAGAATAGTTATATATATATATATAAATAAGTAAAAAAATATTATCTAAAATAATAATAAAAGTCGGAATAGTTTTTATATATACAAAAAAAAGTTAAAATATAGTTTTTATAGTAACAGTAATAAGAAAAGTTTCAAAATAGTTATATATTTATTAAAATCTTTCATATGATAATAATAAAACTTTCCTAATAGTTTTCTATATAAAATAAAATAAAAGTAAAAAAAAATTTTCTTTATAATAATAATAATAATAAAAGTTATTTCATAAATAATTTCAATATAAAAACAAAATGAATCACTGAAAAAAAATAAAAAGTAAATAGTTTTAACAAACTTTATGAAAAGAGTCGGGCAGGACGCACGTGACGATTTCCGGAGCCTCCTTCACAATAATTGTGGTGAGTGGAACCCACAGGGAAAAAGTGAGAAAGTCCAACGCTTGAAAGCCTTCATTATCAAAATATAAACAATAATAAACTCTAAAAGTTATATAAAAATTTTGTAAAAGTTCATAAGTTTTTCACTATAAATCAAAACTTTGTAGTAATATACTCATTTATTATAAAAACTATATTATTAGTATTAGAAAACTTTTATATAAAAAGGTTTGTGAAAGTTGATAAGTTTTTCACTCAAAACTTTTGTTAATGTACTTTCATAATAATATTAATAACTTTCTTATTAGTAATAAAAAACTTTTACTTTCAAAAGTATATATAAAGTCGGTGAATGTTGATATAATTTTCACTATAAACAAAACAAATATTAAAATTTTTTAACGCTTAAAAGTCCTTTTGACCAAAAAGTTTAATAAAAAATAATATTAACTATAACTTTTTTATAAATAAAAATTTTTTTTTAAGAATTTTACTATAAAAATTATAAAGTTTCGTTAAAGTTAAAAAGTTTATAAATGAAAACAAATTTTTTAAAGTTTTGAAAAACTTTATTATAATTATACTATAAAAAAACTATTATAGTATAAAAGTTTCATAGTAAAGTATAACAAAAGTGTAACTCTTTATCATATATGAAGTTTAAGAAAAATATATATTATAATAGTAACAAGCAAATAATAAACAATAAATAGTAATCTTCAGGAAATGCAATGTAAAAAATAATACAGCAATTGGACCAATAGGAGCTATTTAAAATAAGCTGAAAAACAGCGTAAATTTTGGCCTCGTGGCCTCCCAGTCAATAGAGAATATATATCTGAAACGTGCCTGGTTTCCTTGAAAGCTGTCGCACGTGTGAAAATTCTTCACGAACGAAGTGAAGGATGGATTCATAAACTTCCGAAAGTCCCACGCTTTTCCACTCAGCTATAACCTTATTAAGAGGGGAAAAATATTTTTAAAAACCACAATCTCATTGGTAAAAGCATTTTTTTAAAAGAATTTATAGTTATAAACTGAATATCCACGAAATTTAAAGATTTTTGTGCAATATCTCCTTTATTATCTTGAAAGTGTTTAAAAATAATGTTATAAGTAAAATGCTAAGCAAGAAGAATTATTATAAACATTCAACAGAAAAAGTTATTATTGTTTCTAGAACAAAAAATATGCGATAATATTCTTTAAAAATTCTGAAAACACGTGTCAAATCCACCCGAGAATAACCAACATGCGGTATTATAAACGAGGCATTAATAACAGTGAAGTATAACGCCTAAAGAGCCTCAAAAAGTTAAGCATTTAATAAGTAATAGAAATAAAAAGTGGATATAAGAAATTGCTTCATTATTTTATTTTCAATAGAAAGAAAAGAGCGATAAACAAAAAAAATGATTACTTTTTTTATAAAAGGCAACACAATGGTTTCACTGAAAATTTGTTCGGCGAGCTTTGTTTTTCCCAGTAATACAAAAGTTCGAAGACACTATTAATAATAAAAGTAATAAGAAGCATAAAAATTATAGAAAACTGAAAAAATATTTTTTAAAAAAAATCTCAGTAAAAGTTTTTTTTAATACGTGTTCCTGCAAAAAAAAGTTTTTTGTAAGCAAACTTTCAACAAAGTGACTTTGCAAAACTTTATCAAGCTTTTCAGTTACAAGAGCGACCCGCTAACCAACACAAAATATATTTATATAAAATTAAATTAATGGAAACTGTAACAAAAAGGAAAAAACCGGTTCAAAAGACTTCCGAAAAAGCGCAAATGGACATTTTGAAACGCTAAACTGCAGCCGGCTATAGTCACTGATAAGCCTATTGGTCAGTTCGACAAACTGTTCAGGGCCAGTAGCAGCTGGAGAGTTGAGATCTGCATGGATATTATTAATGAGCACAAGTAAACGATGAACTTTTTTAAGAGCCATGCTTATATAAGCAACCAATCAATAAAGGTGTTTCCAAAGTTTTTTCGAGTCGGGTAAGCAGAGTATTGATTTGAAGGAAAAGATTTAAAGCGCTCTAATTGAAGTAATGATTTATTATTTAATATTAATTATAATTATTATTTACATATTGTTTACTTATTTTTATTATGTTTTGGTTATTATTTATTATTTAGGAGTTGTTATTATTTAATCTTCATTACTAATATTTATTATTTATTATTAACTTAAGATTTAGTATGGCTGTTATTTATTAATTGTATTTAATATTTATTATTTACTTACTTATTTACTATTATTATTTAAAGTAATTATTATTTAGACTTCATAATTAATAGTTAATATTTATTGTTAAATTTTAGATTTATTATTGTGTTATTTATTAATTAATATTATTTATTGCATTTAACTATTTATCACTTACTTATTATTATTTATTTAGTTTTACTTATTATTTAGGAGTTATATTATTTATATTTTATTATTAATATTTATTGTTTATTATTAATCTTTTTGTGGTTATTTATCATTAATAAATAGTATTTTTTTATTTATTATTTACTTTCTTATTATTATTTAGTAGTTATTATTTATTATTTAGGAGTTATTATTGTTTATTATTTATTTATTACTTATTTTTTTTTTATTAATCTATTTATTAATTATTAATAATATATGAAATTTATTATTAATTACTCTATTATTATTATTATCCATTATTAATCTAATATTTATTAATTATTATTATATAGAAATTTACTATAGATTACTTATTTATTGTCATTTATTTTGTATTATTTATTATAATTTACTATTATTTAGGATTTATTATTAGTTATTAATCGTCTATTATATATTAACCGTACAGTAGTCGCAGTAGGTCTCTCAGATCCTTTGAGTTTGAAAAAATTTTTTATTTTTATATTAAATACTAAATACCTAAATTCTTGAACACTTGTTGTTTGCTGAGATATTACAGGCCACACTAAACTTTAACTTCTATCTTATTAGAAAATTAAGACAACAAAATAATTTCCAGACCTGTGAGACCCCCTGCGACTACTGCAGGGTTAATTATAATTATTAATAAAAAGGAAATAAAATAAAGCGCCTATCAGAAGACTTTTAGCAAAAAATGTAAAAGAATTCATTTACTTTTTTTTATATTGTTAATTAAAAAAAAGTTTTAGAAATTTTATAATTAAAAAAAGTTGTGCATTTAATAAATATAAAAGTTAATGATAATAAATTTGTTAAAACCAGTTTTTCTTTAATTTCTGATTTCTCCTTCACTTTTTCTAAAAGTTTTTGACTTTTTTGTGAAAGATAATTTTGAATTTCCTAATGGATTATAATTATTATTGCTTACTTCTAGTAATGGCACATGTTTAAAAGTTTTTTAATATATATTTGAATACTGAAAAGGCAAAAAAGACTAGAAATATAAATAAACTCTTCGTGAGAATCACTTCATATAAATTACGAAAAAAGCTGTAAAAGAAATCACAAATGTTGCCGGCCCATAAAAATTTTTAAAGAGTTTTTTTGTGTAGCATAACATTTATTTTAAAGTATTAAAATTAAATTTATTATTAAAAATTTAAATTTACTTAATTAAAAAAAAGGCTTAAAAAATTGACAAAAAAAAAGTTAATCGTAATTATGAATAGTCACATATACATCGAAACTCTTTTTTAAACATAAGTAAAAACCGTTATACTTTTTTAGCAGAAATTAGACAGTTTTAGTTATAGTCAAGTCGATTCAATTTCTATTATCTTAATTATGAAACTAAATTTTTAAATTATAATATATTAAAAAAAATTTACTAAAATTTCTTTAGAAAAAGCTTTACGAAATCTACAAAAATAATTCTTCATCGTTTTTATAATTTCTCAAAAATATTTGTTAAAAAGCGCTATAATTTTTAGCAGATAGGCAGTTTTAGCCAAGTAGATTCGATCTCTTTTATCTTCTTTTTGAAACCAAAATTAAAATTATAAAAAAATTGAAATTAACAAAAATTTTTTAAAAAAAATCTTTAAAAATCTTCAAAAATAATTTATCGTATTTATAATTTCTCAAAACATCGATTTTTTTTATAAAAGATAAAAATGAGTATATCAAATTTAGTATATTAGACAGTTTTAATTATAGTCAAGTGGATTTAAATTCTTTTTTTTTGTTCTCTTGTAATTCATAATATTTAAATTTCACTTCATTATTTTCGTTAATATAAATTTTCTAATACATTCAACCTGCTTACCTATTTTTTATTATTAATATTATAGGTTTATTAACAAGCCGGTTGCTTAAATTTATTTTTAACAAATAAATTATATTAAAAATTATATTATAAAAATATATAATAGATTATATTTAATTATATTACATCCGCTCTTTACAAACTTCTCATAACAATTACGCTAGCTAAAAGTTGCTTCCACGAATACAGGTTTTATTACCTATTAACTTATAAATATTACTTTGAAATTATTGATTTCATAACGAACAATTTGGAATAATACTCACTAATTAAAATTATAATTGTTTTAAGTTACATTAAAATTAAAGCGGTATCAGCCAAAATTTTCATCTAGAAACTTCAATTGCAATAATATTAGTAACAGAAAAAAAACGTTATTAATAAATATCGTATAAAAAAAATTTACCACAAATATAAACAAATTATTTTCAAAGAAATTCTTTTAACTCTTTTAAATAATATAAACAGTTTTTGTAAAATTTTTAAATATTTGCATATAAACTTCATAAAATAGTTTATAATAATTTATAAACAATTACAAATTCTTATTGATTAAATAACTTCAATATAAATTCATATAAAAGAATTTTTTTAAGTTAAATGAAAATTTCAAGATTAAAATTTAAAAGCCAATATAATTTTCAAGTAAAATAATTTAATATAGTTAAAAAAAATCGGCAAGCCAGATTACAACAAGAACAAGTAAGAAAAACCGTTGCAGCATGAAAGTAGCGTTTTTTAAAAAAAAACATTCTTATTTTATATAAAAATTCAAAAATCGGGTATCCTACCTACTAATTACGAAACATTCGAGTTTATAGCTAGTATAATTTAAATTTAAAAGTTTTTCGTGATGTTATTATATAAAGTAGACCAATATTTTATCTTTGCTTTGGAGAAGCGAACTTTTAACACAATCAATTTTCTCTTCAAAATCCACAAGAGTAGTTGAAAGTTGAAGAAAATCTTCATAATCGTCATTAATTAAGTCCACAAGTTCCTATTATTAATCATAATACAATAAAATATAGGTTTGACCTTTTTAAATTAGTCATATATTTCATGGTAAAGTAAAGAAAAATGTTTTTTTAAAAAATAAAATAATAAAACTGTATGTTTTGTTATTTTGTAACTAAACCTTTTGTAATGAGTTCAAAAGCGCTAGTAATTCTTTTTTAATAAGAGGTAACGGTGCTTTCTAATTTTAAAAAAACTAAAAATTTTACAGAGAATAGGAAAAAAAGCGATAAATTACTAAACGAGCTTCTGCTAAAAACTGATTTACATCAAAGTCAGCATTAATAAAGTCCACTTTATCAAAAATAAAAACTGGAGTGTTCTATATTTACAAAAGAGAGTTATTACAGTAACCATATAACAAACATTAGGAGCGGATATCGTTTTGTTAGACTATTAAAATTACCCTGAATATGTTTTTATTTAACTGATAACCGAAAGATATGGCCTTCCTAATATCAGCTTGTTCCATTTTAATAACATGCCTAAGTTAAAGATCATGTAATTTGAATTTTAAGTACAATAAACTGTAGAGATAACGATCCCTTCAAGGAACCATTAATTTACAAAAGTTAAAAGTAATTAATCTACGACTAGGCATAATAAAATATTTCTTTTTGGTGTCTCACTATTCAAATTAAAATAAAAAGGTTGTTATAATTAATAAATTATTTGCGTTTATACAACTTTTTAGGGCAGTGTAAGTAATAACAATTTATTTTTCTGTTTAAGTATAGCAGTATATATACTTTAAATAAGCTTTCGAGATATGAACCTTATTCCCAGAGCCAAAGCTTTTCTTAGTTAATAAAAAAGAAGGTGAAAATCCCAGCCTCGGGAGTGAGCTTTGACTTTGCTTTTTCTTTTTACTTTAATGTAATAACATCAAGATATAAAAAAGCTATTAGCTGCACACTGCATTTAAACTAGGAAACAGTTTGTACAGTATATTAAAGACTTAGAAAGTTTTTTTTCTAAAGTAGTTCAAAGCGGAATGTTTATTAAACTGCTACGCGTAGTGTTTAGTAATTTTTTTAAAAAAAAATTTCTATTACCTTTTTCTTTTAGAACTAGAGAATATAAAAGCTTAACAGCAGCTTTAATCTTCTAATATTGTTTTTATGATTTATATATAAGCCACGACGACCAGTTTTTTTATACTAGGAAACATACATTTCAAGCTTTCAACTAACGCTTTTTTCATAAATACAAGTAAATTTTACTCTTAAGAAAATTTTTATATTTTTTATATGGTAAACAAGTCACTTGTTTATTTGCAATAGTTAAGTTGTAGTTTGAGTTTATGTTGAATATATCGTTTTTAAGTTAAGTTTCAAGCATAGTAAATAACGAAAGAAGTTATAAACATACTAATATTTTTTTATATCTATTTAAATATAAGGAAAAAGGTAAAAAGCCTTAGTTTAAACCAAACTTGAATCATAACATTTAAGTTTAATTATTCAACTTGCGTTTAAAGTCTTTATAAAAATAACTTTTGCTATGAAAACTGAGTCAATAATTGAATTATAAATAATTTGTTTCATACACTTTCAAAATCTGGGAAAAGAGTGAAAATGTGTTCGCTTAAGTTAAGTGCTCTGGCTACGTGAGAGCATACATAAATCAAGAGCAAAAATTTAAGTAAAAACTAAATTCCATTTATGAAAGATCGCTCATCTTTATCAAGTATTATATTGCTTTTAAAAATTGAAAATACAAGTTTTTTATTATTTAAACTTTTCTTGATTTATTAAAAAGTAATGACTGTCGTTTCTCCGTCTATAGTAACTCAGATACTTTTTTTGCTCAAATAAAGACTAACCGTTTTGGAAATTATGCTTTTATAAAAATATTATAAAAAACTTTTTTGTTAACGGAATTTTTTCAATAGTTGTCTGTGAAAAAATGTGCAAGTTTTAATTTAATTAACTGCTAGTAACTTATTAAAAGGCTTAACTAAATTTCTATCCTGCCCCCTACAAACAAAATATAAATTATATGACATAAAAGACTTAATTTTTCTCAGATGATGTTCAATTGCAAGTACTTTCACTTCAAGAATTAGTAATAATAATAAACACTATGTAAATTATTAAATTTGTTACAAAAACAACCAGCAACTGCTACTCTTTTTATAAGAAACGGCGCCGCAGTTTCGTCTCTTTTTTAAAAAAGAAAGCAGTGATACATAAATTTGATAGTTTTCTGTTATAGTTTTCCAACTTTTCATCTTTGTACTTAAATGCTAATAATGATAACTTAACTTATAAAGGGCAAGCAGCAAATATTAAGTTGCGCTAAACATGATTCAAATTAACTAATAGGTGTGATTCGCGGAATATTAATAATTCTTCCTCAGTTGTTATATATTAAAAGTAAATTTACTTTGTAAATAACAACCTGAAAAATTCAAAACCAATTTAAAAAACTATATCAGGTTTTAATTAATGTTAATAACTCAAAAAATCACATCAACTGAGATGAGCAATTTACAAACTACGCTTAAATATAACCAAGCTTATCTTCATTTTAGCTATAATAAGTAACAAATTCAAAAAAAGCAAACTATATAAGTCTCCAAAAAAGATTTAATGATTAAAAAAATTATAAAAATTTACTCGAATGAGAAATAAACGTTTTTAATCAGAAAGCGTAAAATATAAATGCGGTCGCTGATTTTAATTTTTAAAGTAAAAAAAAGTAAACTTTTACAGAAAGCAAAATACTATGCAAAACGTGACGCAGCAGCGAAAAGGATTATAATAATTTTTTTATTAAAGTATTTTTTCCTTTACAAAACTAAATTTGACATCCTTAAAAAAGATTTAAATACTACTTAAAAGTTTTTCCCCTTTTAATAATTAACTAAATGAATTAAAATTTGTCTTATATTAAAAAATTAAAGGTGGTAAAACACTCGTCCAAAATTGCAAAGAAAAGTTTATTATATAGAAACTGCTTTAGTTGTTTTCAGTTGATCTCAAATATTATAATAAAAAAATTTAGTCGTACAAAAAATGAATCCACGTAAATAACAATTTTTCAAAACTTATATATATATATATTTAGCTAAAATTTAAACAAAACTCAAAGTTCCTTATCTTCAGCCCATAATTTAAAAGTACGATCAAAAGAAGATGAAACTACAAATTTGTTATCTGCCAATTAATTAAAAATTTATTTGAAAAAATCAAAAAAAAGGTAAACAGCAAAAACGTACCGCGTGCAATATCGCAGCTGAGAATCTTACAAGTGTGCGCCTCAAGAGTTTTTAAATGAAGCCAATTTTTGTTAGACCAAATTTTCACCGACAGATCGTACGAAGAGCTGACAAAGTAGCGGCCGTGATTGGGTTCAAATTTAACACAAGAAACTTTATAAATTAAATTATTTATATAAAATCGAATATAGCGGAGTAAAAAGGAATGTAATGCACAAGAATGACATAAAATTAATTATAATGTAAAATTAAAATAAAATTAGTGAAAAGTAAAGTAAAACACCAGTATTGGTGTGGCCCGGAATCGTATAGGAACATTGCCGCTGGCGCAGCTCCCAAAGCTTCAGCGTGTGATCATCGCTTCCGGTGAGCACCACGTGACTAAAAAATAATTATAATTTGAAAAAAAATTCTAACCCAAAACTCCACTGAAAACTAAGTAAAAAAACCCGTTCGGATGGAAATCCACAGCCATCACAGGTTTCACGTGGCCTTGTAAGACCATAATACACCGCCCCGTTCGCAGATCCCACAAACGACACATGCTATCCAGTCCGCTAAGGAGTGCCCAGTCACGCAGAGATGGATGTAAAAAAAAATAAATTAAATTATAAAAAAAAAAAATACACTAAACCTGGTGATAACCAGAGCGCCATCTTTCTGAAAGCAAATATCATAAACCTCTTTAGAATGGCCCGTCTGGTGGACAAGTTCTACTTGCTTTTCGATATCCCAAAAGCGCCAAGAAGAATCAAAACTGTGAAATTAAAAATAATCGAATTACTATTAAAAAAATTTAAAATTAATAGACTTACCAAGTGGTACCAAGGTATCTTCCTGAAGGATGAAAATCCACACGGCTAACACGGAGGGGATGACCCGTAAGCGAACCGATTGGTGTCTCTCTAATTTTGTATATATAAATTTAGATTTAATAAATTTATAAAAAAAAATTAGATCAAATACTTTTCCAAATTCCAAAGTAAAACTTCACCATCGAAGCTACTCGAGACTAAGTTTAAAGCAGAAGGAGATTGTTGAATAGTGGAGGTTGGATGAAATTTAATGCAGCAGACGCGATTTTTATGGCCTCTTAAGGTTCGCAGAAGATCACAGGATGGAACTTTCCATAATTTACTAATAAAAGTTATATATAAATTTTATAATAAATTGTAAAAAGATGGAATCTTTTATGTTTTCCGAAAAAGATTGTAAACCTTCCATGATTTACTAGTAAAATTTATATACAAAATTAATAATAAACCTATAACAAGATGAAATTTTTTAAATTTTCCGAAAGACATTTTTAAAAATAAATTTATATTATTATAAAAAGTTAATAAAAACCAAAGGCCCGTCCAATCAGAGGTGGCGACAGAAGAGGAATCAGGAGAGAAAGTGCTGTACGAGATGGCCCGCTCACCTCCCACTTGACTACAGTAATTCGAATAATTCTGAAAAGTAGAAAAAATAAAAAATAAATTTTTTTTATTAAATTTAAATTATAAAAAAAACTTTTAAAAGTTTCTGTTCTTCTTGATGTAATATGGCTTCCTCTTTGCTATTCTGATTAGCTTGATGCTTTCGCTCTAATATAAGTTTCTGCCTTGCTCTTGGAAGAGAGTAACTCGCAATATAAAGCCGTGCTTCTTTAAGAAGAGGCGAACCTAAAAAAATTCAGTTAAAAAAAATTCTTATAAACAAAATAAATATAATAGACCTCTAAAGTAAAAAGTTCCTGTTTTTTCCTTTTCCTCTGTAACTTTAATTTCGGAATGACTGATCTCTTTAAAGCATTCTTCTAATTGAGCCAATCTTTCTTCAGAAAGATTGGAAAGCAAATTCCCTAAATAAAAAATATAAAATAATATTTAAAACGAAAAAAAATAATTAAAAACTTACTTAAACGATCACGACGTTTTCCCTTGTCTTCACCAAAAAGAGCCACAGGTTCTTCAATTTCTCGAAGTCGGGCTCTAACCTGCGTATAACTAGTTTTCCAAATTCTTGATATAAAATAAGAATGTAAAAACTTTTCAAATATCGTTCACTTCTTAAATCAGAGAAATAAATAACTAGTAAAAAACTAACGGCTAAATCGTCTGTAGGTAAAATTAATTCTCTAGCTTTTTTTCGTCTTTCAAAATCGGCAAGTAAGGCATTTCTTTCAGAACCTTCCAGCTCTTTAATGTCTTTAAGGACTACAATAATATTTATTTAAGTAAAAAAAACTTTTTCAAAAAGCAAAAAGAAACAACCTTCCATCTTTCTTAGAAAATATATTATTTTAAAGCTTAAATGTTCATGTCAAACAGCAACAGCTATTTCACAAACCGGAAGGAGTCAGCGCTAACCTTACACAGTTCCGTTCAGCTGCTCGCTATGCAGGTCTGTAAGCGTTCCCGCCGCTCTAGGAAGCCGTTTTATTTCTATTAGTTTTGTCCAGTTTAAAAATGGTTCATCTAAGTAATGATCATCCGTAGGTTATTGAAAAGTTCAACTTTACAGAATATCATAAGATTTTTGTATGTCAACAAGTCTTTAGCAATTGGGGCCCGAAGTTTTTTTTCAATCCTGTATCAAGTAGCCGGGTCCAGTTGCATATTAAACTTAACGCTCATTTTTTTTGTATATTTTATTAAATATACTTGCTTACGCAAGCATCTTTGCGTATATTTAAGTCAATACTGCCAGTTATTTTCTGTAATCGATCAAGTAGGCTACTTTTTATGCTCAAGTTAGTTTATAATTGATCAAACAACTTTAATTTTTTATATTACATCTCCAAACACAACTTTGCAAACGACTGTTGGCAAACAATGCAAGCAATGTCTACGGAGACATGGGAAAAATTGGCTTCATTTTAAGTTCAGTTTTTAGTATAAACCGGAGAAGACACATTTATTGAGAGTTTATTAATAGTAAAAGAAAACTTTTTAGTTTTTTGTTTCTATTAGAGATTACTTTGAATGCACAGAGTGAAGTACAGATGGATTACGTGTTTGTGAAATAGAAGGAGGGCGTTTCCGTTTTTAAAGTATGACATTAAGTTTAAGCATATAACTGGAAGGCCTAAACCAGAAACCAAAGTGGCTCCGCTTCATAAGCAGAGAAAACAAAATTAGGACACAAATTAGAAACTCTGCTATTCCACGTACTTAAATATATTGCCTACCATAAATAATGACCCCTAACACTGCAAAGCTTACACACTGGACCGACAACTTAACGTAAAATTTACTTTTTGTTTTTGTTTAATTTTTCTAAGTTTTTTAATATAACTATAGAAAAGAGCAAGAAACACGAGAAGTCAAGTTAAAAAAAAGGATAGTCGTGGGTACAGTTTCGCACTAAGCCTATTGCGGTGCTAAATCCAAGGTCGCTGAGATTGTCTTATAAAATTGATACACTACAAACGCTATACAATATAAAACCTGATCGAAAAATCTCAAAATTTTTCTTTAGAGATTAATAAAAATTCTATGTAAAACTTCTTTAGTTCAAGTTCGTAGCTAGAACTTTTTTAGAAAAAATAAATTTACACAACATATAAGTGGCCAACTTTCAGCTTACAACCTATATTTTTTATTTTTAACAAAACTATTTATAAAATGCTAGAAAATTTTGAGGCACGTAGTTTTATAAGCTTTACTAAAGAAAGCCATAATGATCGCTAAACTTGGTAGTGAAAGTAGACTTATTACGTGGACTGATTTAAATGGCATTATTAGCACATGACAAAATAACACTGTCCTTTACTATCACTCTTATGCACGCTTTTGCAATTTAATGCTAAAAATGTAAGATAAAGTTTTACTTAAAAACTAACTTTTTAGTTAAATTCTAAAAAATATTTAAATACTAGAACTCATTTATCACAATACTTAAACGATGTTACTGGATATTCCATTTATTTTCATAAAGATGTAAACAACTTTTTTGAAAAACTATAGGTTTAAATGACCACCCATCATAGAGTCTCAACTCTATATTTATGCATTAATTAACTGCCTAAATAAAAGACCAATTAAATTATTAATAAAACCCGGTAGCTTGTTATTCTAATTAATCATAATTAGGCTTTTGTAATAAAATGTATTTTTGTATGAATTGCCTGTGTGCAGTTTGTTAATCTACGAAAGTTACGTCCCTTCAAGATGGACTGTTTTCCTTCTTTACCTCTTTGTTAGTTTAGAGATGTAAGAGAGATTAAGCAAAAACGTGCTACACATATGGACTGTAGTATGTCAGTAACAAATAAATAAGTAAATTATAAAGTTTAAGAGTTAATGGTCCTAGAAGATAATTATCTTTAAAATATAATAAATTATAATTTTATAAAATTAAATTATGTTATTGAATATAAACAAGGTTTAGAATTTGTATTTCTTTTGCATTTACCTTTAATGTTTATCCTCGCTGCTATGCCATGTTCTAAAGTATCTCACTGACTTGTTTTGGATTTCCGTGACTTAGTTTTGCTGTGTGATTGAAATGATTTTAAGTTTTAACTTTATCCTTGTTTTAGAATTACTTATTTATTACTGAGTATTGTATTATTTTATTTTAACAGTAATCACCCTTGTGAACGATCGTTTATCCAATCTTACTGTTATGTTTTTAGTCGAACTTGTACTCTAATAACGGGTTAGTCACACTCAAATGGAGGCGCCCCTACTTAGAGTTGTGGGAAATTTCAACGTTTATTTATATGGTTAAGTGACTTTTTTAGTAAAATATTAGATACTAAAGAAGAAAGAACTTTTAGCACAGATAAGACTTTTTTAAAATTTTTTGATGCACCAAAAGTTCCTGAGGTGTCACTGTATTATAAATTATGCTATTTTCAATGTAGCGAGAGCCTTAACTTTTTTCATTTTTCATTGTACCGCTCTTTAAAAAGTTTATCTTATAATAATTAAACTATTTACTTAGACGTAGCTACTTAGAAACTCACCACAACAAAAAGCTGAATTTAAGTCAAGCCCCTTTTTGCCTCCTTTCTGCTAGTATATTTAAGATAAAAGGCAACGAAACCTCTAAGGGAAGTTTTCTCGTACTTAGTTACCTTTTAAAAACTTTTCTTTCCATAAATGGCATTATATTCTCTAGGCCCACCGCGTGATGCCAACCATTCTACGTGGCGCCTACTAACGTTTTAAAAAAATTATTTACAATGAAAATTGAGTCTTTGTTCAATTGCTATGAATAAAGTAAAGCAGTTTGATAAAAATATGCTTTGGACATCTAAATATTTATATTTTAAGTGTGGGAATCTTCACCGTTTTATTTATAGCTTTATTAACTGCAGGAAACTAGGCCACCTTCCTGCATGGAAAGTTAAAGGCTTTGCAAGCGTTATAAAAGTAATAACTAGAGAGAAGACTAAGCCTCTGACTATGGAATTATTACCAAGGAGAGAGTTTTCAACAAGCCTACCTCGAACACCAACCTTAAAATATTTTTTACAACCAAGAAAAGTTTTAGTTACCTTTGTTAGAAACAGTAACGATAATATTACGTCAAATTTTTACAGCGGAAAACTAAATCAACTTAAAGTTTACAATCGAGAAATATATATGATTGCTTTGTTTACTTTAATAATATGTACGTGTCCTTATAATTTAGTTAATTGTCATGAACTTTTATTACGAATTTATTATACAACTTTAAATTTTGGGCACAAATATAACATGGTGTCCTTGTATGACCGTGAAAACGATTTCGAAGCTAATATGAAAATAACAAGTCCGCTTAGTTCGCCTACTCCAACAGTTTTTACCACAATCCGAGTTCTTGCTCGCCTGCTATGGCTTGGTGTGATATCCGTTCCTATCATAGTTCTTTTTCCTTTTGCTTATATACATGCCCGATTGTTGGTGAATGAAAAAGGTTTAACAAAATTCCTATTTTTATAGTTTATATTTTAGAGTTTTGATTCCTCATTCGCTCTACTTTTTTCTTTATTATTAAGATTATACTCTCGGACCAAAGCTAGCGCAATGGTGGTGGGATATTTTCTTGAGAGCGGTAGAGTCGAGCGGTCCTACTTTTATTAAGTTTGGACAGTGGGCAAGTTAGAGTCTGTTCCACATATATATACATATTATTTTTCAATTTCTATTTAAACTTTATTAAACTCTTATCTTCTCGTTGAGTTACTATTATATGTGGTAGGCACTCGACGTGACTTATTCTCTGAACAATTTTGTGCTTATTTTTCTAAGCTCCACTCGCATAGGAAGCCTCATCCATATAATTACACCTCTGAGGCTATTATGAAAGCCTTTAATTTGGAAAGTGTCAGTGATGTTTTCGAGGTAGTAGAGCCAAATCCTCTCGGATCCGGTTGCATCGCGCAGGTTCACAAGGCTAAACTAAAAAATCAAAGCGGTTAGCTATGCGCAATCTTTCAACCTATTCTTATTTACCCTATATTATAAGATCTATGGGTTGCTGTAAAAGTACTTCATCCTCATGTTTCCGATTTTATTGAAAGTGATTTACTTCTGATGCATTCTATAGCTAAAATAATCTCATACGTTCCTGGATTTGAATGTATAGATCTTTATTTGAACAGCCCTCTTTTTAGTATTTTACAGATTATAGTTTATCTACTTATTATAATTAAATTAGTTTCATTGTAAAGTTTGTGTCAGCAGGTCACCTTATTCTTAATATAAAAGGGCTTGGCCCCGTTGATGTAGTTAAACAGTTTTCTCAATCTATGCGTGGACAGCTTGATCTGACTGAGGAAGCTCGTAATCTCGAAGTTTTTTTGAATAACTTTGCTTCAGAGCCATATATAAATTTTCCATCTCCCATTGGTGGGCTAATTTCTCAGGTAGCTTGAAAAAAATGGGAGGATCCCTTTTTCTGCTGACTTTTTTATATCTACTCTTTTTGCACTTTAAAGAGCGTTCTTGTGGAGTCTCTAGAAGAGGGCACTCCTATTTCAAATTATTTTAGTGAAAGCAAAAAATCTGTAGATGAAAAAGTTTCCAGGAAGCTCGCCATTCTCGGTTAATAATATACTTTTAGCATATTTTTTTTAAGTGTAAGTTTATAACTCATTTTTTATACTTTTATATAAATTATGGTTTTTTGCCAAAATTATTATTGACTATGGTAATATTAAAGTTAAAAAGAAACTTTATATATAACGATGGTAAGTTCAGCTTGAACAATGTAAAATATTTAGTTTATTTGTTTATTTATTTATTATACTCCACATAACTAAATGTTATTTTTTTATAATTGTTATAGATAAAAGTTTGTTTTATTAAATTTTTATATCAGGCATTACCTCTTTTTTAAGAATGATTGTTTTCCACAACTTTGTGCACGGCGATTTGCATCCTGGCAACATCTTGGTTAGTGGCAGTAAAAAGGCTAATTCGAACATCACCTACTTGGACGCTGGAATATCGCTAAAACTTTCCCGCGTTGATCAAAGAAATTTTCTTGACCTCCTTTACGGCATTGTTATGAACGACGGTGAGGTGTTTTGGCGCGTAACATACTATTATATATATATTTAAAATCATTTAACAAAAATAAGTATGTGGGACGAATCATGGTAGAGCGCGCCAGTTCGCATAACTGTCCCGATGTCGATGCGTTTGCTAAAGAAATAGGCAAACTGGTGGCAAAAGTCCACGAGAGCGAATTAATATTATCACAACTCCGTTTAGGAGATGTCCTTTCTGATGTTTTTAAGCAGCTCAGGCGTTACCAGGTTAGCGGTGCTTTCGTTTATTGTTTATGATTTGCTCGGATTTATAATAGAAATGTGTATATAGGTGAAGATCGAAACTAATTTTGCAAACTTAGTTGTAGCGATTGCGGTAATGGAGGGTGTGGGCAGATCACTGGATCCTAATTTAAATATATTATGCTCATGTGCTCCTCTTCTGGCGGAGGCAAAGCTAAGAGGGAAGATGTAGCTCAAAATTTTTTTTTACAATTTCAAAAAATTAAAATAAATTTGAATATTTTTTATAAATTTATTAATAAAAATTTACTTATATATTGTTTATCATATTTTTTATTTTTTATACAGAATGAAATGTTTGCATTATTAAAATGAATTATTTTTTATAACTTTTAGTCCTACATATAGAATTCATAATAATATTAATTGTTAATTTTAATTAGAAGAACATTCAATGTAGTTTTGAGCGGCAAATTCACACTGCAGTAGAGTGCCGGCTTTTTAGTTACCCCTAAATACCTGTTCATTATTCTTTATAAATTCTAGCTCATTTAGTTTTGCCTTAAGATGCAACCCGAAATAAAAGCTTATTAAAATTTATAATTATTAATTTAAATAAAAAGTTTTTGACTATACAAAAGTATCATAAATAAATTTTTATTTTCTGTACACTTTAAAAAGCTACATTCCCTCCTGCTTTGATTTATAATTTTTAAATTATTTCAAAACTTATAAAAATTTTGATTACATTTTCGTTCGTTACCTTCTTTATATTCTCTGCGCAGTTTCCCATGGTAACGAAAGTACTTAAAAGTGCCTCCCTTTTAGTTCAGGTTTTTTTTTTAATTTTTTTTACTTAGTTTTAATAAGATTTTTAACCTTAAAACTTGCGCTTACTTAATAAATAAACTCAACAACTGTGCCATATTGGCATAAAAAGAAAGTAAATCTACGGAAGTCATCATAGCTAAGACAATACTTCAAAAAGAGTTTATCAAAAAAAAAAGTTTATAAATTCTTACTTCGATTGAAAAGTACTATTCCGTCATTCACATCTTGTAACTATTTGTTAATAAAAATTGTATTCTGATAAATCTTAAAAAGAAGAAAACCTTATTTTTTCGAATAAATTACGGTTTTTTCGGAGCAGAGTAACATAAAATGGTGAGTTGTTTTCCTTGTAAGTTTTACAAGGCAAGCACGCAGTTAATAAAATTAAATTTATTTCAGCAATTATTTTTACTTATAACTGAAGTATAGATTTTGGAAAATGATAAAAGAAAAGGCGGCGGTTTTAGATTAATAAGTGCAGAAGTCTTTGGAAAGGTTAAAATCTATTATAAAGGGGTTAATGTGTGTTTATATTGCAACAGCCAACTCTGTTAACTTTAACGTCTTAGAAAATTCGTGTGCTCCCAGGTAAAATACCTGGGGGTCTTTATACACTATCGTGCAAAATTGTTTCGATGTTTTACCTTTTTTCATGTAATATATAATAATTTTTCGATAACTTATTGGATTTCTTTAGAATTTGTACATAGTAAACTTCCATGTTCTTGCTAGATTTACTAATACTTGATCTTAAATTGGTTTAATATTCGAAAAGATATGAGCTTGTAAAGTTGAAAGATTACAATTTTTCACTTTGATGGTTTCACAGGCTGTAAGTCTTCGAGAATTTTATATTATAGACAGCAAAGTAATATAATAAAGATATAAAGTATATTTTAGACAATATAGTAATATAGTGCAAGAAAGCCGAAGTAGTAGAAAGCACTATAAATTTATTTGATAATTATGGACTCCCAGACGCGCCAAATCCAACTGCACAACAAACAAAGAAAAAGGAAAAAAAAACTGCAATCTTGCGCGAGCCAGACTTATATAATCACATATGCGCTTCCCTTGAGCACTATGCTCATACTATAAACGTAGGAAAAATTTTAATTTTAGTAAACGAGGTTTTAATAGTTGGTATGGATCCCTTTTGCCAGAATCACTGCTTGTATCCTCTTTGGCATACCGGCAATCAGATTGTAGGATTGATTTTTCCATTCTGATTGTGCACGTGTCCAAAGCTCGTGCAAGTTAACAGGGGATGATTCGCATGATCCCAATTTTCTCTTCAAGATTCCCCATACGTACTCAATGGGATGAGATCAGGAGATTGCGGAGGTCAGACTAATACTTGGAACGACTGTAATTGAAGCCATAACCGCACCGATAGTACAGCGTGGCATGGGGCATTAGTTTGCTGAAAACCAATTCGCTGTCATACCAATCGCATGTTGTGGGTGGGTTATTCTTAATTATGTCTAAGCAAGTGCTTGCGGTGATGCTCCCTGTCCATTTTTCTAAATATCCGACCCCTTTAGATGTTATGCAGGGTCAAACAACATAACCGTCCTCCCCCATGTTTATACGTTTGCACCAGAAGGTGACCAAGTACTCACTATCGCCGGATTGCTTCCAACACCACCTAATACCATATGAACCATATCGATTGACCTTGGTCTTGTCCGAAAAAATATCTTTTTCCTAGGCATAAATGGACCAGTTTTCCTATGTCTTTGCAAACTCAAAATTTTAGTCGCTTGTGACGGTCGTCAAAGTGAGTTTAATTAACTTTTTTTTTCTCATGGAGACCAGCAGATGCAATAATCTCGATAGGGTCGATCTTGAAATTGGTCTATCTAATGTTGTTTCTATGACATTTGAAACTTTCTGTGCAGATTCAATTGCGCTCAATGTCACTTTTCATAAGTCAAGCTATATCCCGGTTTTTCAAATTTTTTGGACGCCCAGGCTCGTTGCAAGGACGATTTGGATCATATTGAGCTTTGATCCGGGATATTGTATCTTACTAACATCACATTCATGAGCGATCTCAGTATATGGCTTGCCATGATCTAAAAGACATTTTACATCATTTTCTTTATCGATTGAAAGTTAACGCATCATTATATTAAGGTCTCTAAATAAGCTATCCTTTATGGTCATTCAAACGCTTTAAAAAAAAACCCCAATATGGAGTGATCATGAAAATATCGTATAAAGATTGAAGCAATTTTTTTGCACCGAAGGGGAATACGTGCCAAAACGTTTTAATCTATACTTAAATTTTAAAAAGCGATAAGGACAAGTATGGAAGAAATCTTCTAGTACAAACTACATTAAATTGATCTCAATCTAAACTTATATATATAAGGGGCAATATAACCAATTATTAGTTTAAGCGTTATAGAATTTTTACGAAAAAATTTAAAACCAGAAATAATTTTGAACGACAGCGCAGATTCTAAGTTGTCGGGCATCCACGTATATTATGTGGCGGTGAAGCCCAAGGCAGCAACCCATACCGTATATCCTCTATTATGTAACAAAAGTAAACTTTCCTTGCGCAATAAGCGAAGGCTACATGTGCTGTACATTCTGCTGGATATGATATATGTATCTCCTGTCTGGGCCTACGACTTATCGGCATTAACTTCCTCGCTTTAAGTGCGACAAAACAAACTGCTGCGCCTGTAAGCGAACACGCCGTGGTTTGTGCAAAATGATATACTTCACCACATACCACAGGCTGAGCTGCTGACCACAATCTTTAAAAGTAAAGCCATCGTCCTCTACGAAAGGATAGCTGGCCACGCTAATCCCCTTTTAGCGGAAGAACTCACGAGTTGGGGGCCTGCGCACAATAACGGCGTCACGCGACTTACTGTCAGCATGGTTGAAAGCTACGTTTGGGAGGTCTAAATTAAACGTGAACACATGTGAAGATAATTTCACTTGCATTCGTGGATGAATAAAACATCTGTAAGATCTCGTTTATTTGGAGTTGTTAACTCGATCGAGCATCAGAAACGCCATTAGTAAATAAATGTATTGAAGCTGTATACAGTTATTAAAATACAAGTTGAACTTTATTCATTGTTTGTATATCATAGTAAAAAGCAAAAAATAACTGCAAAGTTACTGTCCAGCTTTCTATTTATAAAGGCATCATAAAAAGATTTATAACGAGAAAAAACAACTTTGTAGTAGCTGTTTACTACTTTCTCCTTAACAAATTTAAAGATACGCCTTTAATAAAAAAGAAAATAAACCTTATGGACGCTCAAAAAATTGTTAATTTTTGTCTAAAAAAAATCTTGACAATCATTACACTTATCTAAAAAGGGTAAAATACCACAAAGACATACTAAAAACAATAATTAACGTAACAGTATCCGTAGTTAAGATTCCTAAGTTAAAAAAACGATAAAAAACTAAAAAAAATTATTTCGTTTATAGCCAATAAAAGATTAACAGCTAGCCGATCCATCATAAGCAAAAAAAGGCAGATTAGTTTAACGTGTTGGATTATAAGTTAAATTTCGAGAACTTGTACATAGTATAGAATATCAAATACATAAATTCTTCTCCCCCTTAATCACATATTTTAAACCCGTGGAGACCACGGTATCTCCTTAAGCTAACAAACATGAAAGTAAACTACTTGCATACCACCTCCATTTACAGTGGCGCTCTCTGGCCTCAAAGTGTTAACCCTCAAAAGAGGGCCCACGTGGTCAACTGAAATAAAGTCAGATAGCTTGTTCTATTTATTTGTACTTAATATCATGTATTCGTGTAGCGGGTCTTTAGTTAAGTAAATATGACTTCTTCATGTGTAAGCATTCAACCTCCTTTTCTTTTTATATGCCAACCTGAAGATATTATCGGCATTTCTCCGCATTTAGTTGAAACTAATGTTATCGGTATGTTTACATTTTAAGGTACTTATTTGTGACTAAGTAAACGTAATTTATAATTACACAGTCACCTTAAAATCTTCTGCTATTCACATTTATAATCTCTTGGATCAAAAATGTGTTTTGTCTTGGAGAGTTGGGCTTTCTTTATCATTAACTCTTCCAACCGTCCAGCATCCAGTTAACGGTTGCTTTTTCTGTGTTGCTAATAACAATACTCTTTATGTCTGGGATTCTTCAAGCACAAGCATTGAAACAAATTTGGTAAATTTTTTATAAGTGAACAAAAATTAAATATTTTACAAATTTTATTTCTTTTGGTCTATTCGATGTTTTGAGGTTATTTATATACTGAAAGGATATTTTTAATCGACTAATTACCTTGTTTTTGTAATAGTTTCAGACTTCCGAAGATTCAATTTTGGGTCTCCACATTCATAAAGATGTTAGTGAACCTATTTTAATTCTTTCCAATGGGAAAGTTTCAACTTTATGTACTAAATATCCCTCCGATGTGAAAGCCTCTTTATCATCCCCGCCTCCTGATATGTCTCGCATTATTTTTTTCCCTTATTATTTTTTATTGATAATTTTTTTTAAAGAGGAAATATAGAACTTTTATTATATAGCGAAGTTGGTTATATATCCACTGATGGTTTAATCATTTACTGCTTTTATCAATTAATTAAAGTAACTTTGTTTTTATTTAAGGACCACTTTACTTGTTGGCCATTTATAAAACAAACATTTACTTTATTTTGCTTTATGAATTAAGCAAAAACGGTCTTTTTATAGTTTATCAGCAGCAGTTAAACACTGAAAATAGTAAATTATTTTCCGTTTCTTTTGATTTTGAATCCAAAAGACTTGTCTGGTTAGGTACGATCGATTTTATGAATATGAATATTATTATGATTATATCTGTTATTAACTTTTTTGTTAGACGAAAAAGAACGACTTTGCGTTAGTCATCTGATTTTGGAGGGGCAGAAAGAGACCAGCTTTCTGCTCATTAGCAAATTTAAAAGAAATTTAAGTCTGTATTCAGGCCACGTGCTTGATCAAAAACGTTGGCGTGCGGATCTTATTGCTTTTAATCGTTCGTATGTCTGCATTTCTGGAACTTCTACTGATAATAAAAGTATTATTTTTTTTTGATTATTATTTATTGAAAATAATTTTCATTATTTTTAGTTTACTAATAAAGTGATTTATTTTTTTGATATTTATGAATTATAAATAATTTATATTATCTTAGAATTTTATTTATAGTTTACTGATTATAAAGTAATTTTTTTTGATAATTATTAGTTGAACTAATTTATATGCATTAAAAATTTCTTGTTAGTATTCTGATAATGTAGTATATCTTTTTTTTTGCTTATTACTATTTAAAGATTATTTATATATTCAATTTTGCTCTTTTTTTTCTAAAATTTTATTAAATTATTTTATTATCAGTTAAGATTATTTGAATTACTATACTATTTATACTGACAATCAAAGTTTGTCTTCATTATTATTTTGTAAAAGTAGTTTATGTCATGTTTGATACTATAAATATTTTCTTTTAAGAATATATAATATTTTTATTCTATTATACTTTTAGATTATTTAAATTATTATTTTTTAATATACTGGAAGTTTTTTATTATTATTAAAATTAATATTTATTATTATATTTTCAATTTTTTAAAAAATTGATTTATCTTTACTAATAGTTTTAGATTTTACGATTTCTATTTTTAGTTTATTTTTATTATGTTTACATTAATTTTACTAAATTTAAATTAATACTTTTATAGACATCTTAAGCGTATTTGAAACTGATTATGGGACTTTGTTGCAATCAGACACTTTTGTGAGTTTGCATGTGTTTCTATACTTGGCAGCTTTGATCATTCACGTTTTCCAGAGCAGTACTGAAAATAATGTACTAAATTCAAATCATCTTTCAAAAAAACGCCATTCCGAAGAAAAATTAAACTGTTTCCTTTTTAAGATTCGAGTAGTGGATTGCGATTACTTTATTGCTGTAGACGGTTGTCTTGCAATTTGTGTATTCTTCTAAGTTTTTTATAAAGTATAAATCTTTATAGGAAGCAACGCTACTATTTTCCCTATTGTCACGCGCGAGCTTCTTACAGCTGACCTTCTTGGCAAGCAAAATTTTTTTTTAATTTATTTAATTTGTTAATTTTTTTTTTAAGGCAATTTAAACAAAACGAAGCAATTTTTAAGAGATCCTGAAAACATGCTTGCTCCTTTCCAAGTTAAACCGTTTGCAGCTATTAGTGAAGAGCTGACTAGTAGTGATTTTTTTCATGCGCAGTCTGAACAAGATGCGATCTTGCAAATGTTGAAATTAATGGAACAGAGAAATGAAGATGAATTTATGAAGGCGTTTTCTGTTTACACGCAAAAAAGTTTTCTATTATTATTACTATTATTATTTGTACTGAGATGATTTTTTATTAAATCTACAGCTTCGGATTCAAAGAATTCAGTTTATTCGTATTTTTTTGTCTGCAGCTTTCTGCGAGCTTGTGTTGATCAAAAAGAAATTTTGCTGGAAAGTGCGATAAAAACTGTTTTAGAGTAAATTTTTTATAAATTTATTGAATTTGAAAATCTTTTATTTTATTATTTTTTATATAATTTTATCTTTTTTGTTGCTTTTTATTTTATTAGCATTTTTATAATTTTTTTATAACATGTTTTAGATCAATTCTTTATAAGTTTTTATAAATTTTTTATGTTTTAGTTCTGCTTTTTTAATAATTATAATTTTTTTATATTAATTGTAAGTAATAATTTATTGGTGAAGAGCACAATCAAAAGATTTTTTTTAGCTTATTTTTTTTTAGTTTTTTTTATTTTATATTTTTTTTTATGGTTGCGTTTTCTTATATTTTATTTTTTTTTAGAAGCGGATTTTGTTCCTATCAAGCTTGCCCTGAACTTTTATCTTTTTTACTGGAGCGTAAAGCCATCGTAATTTTTTCCTTTGAATCTTTTTTTTAATTTTTTTTTTCTTTGAATGTTTTTGTAGGATTTGCTTGAACTCTATTTTTTGCACGTGTCTGATATTCCTGAGTCCCAAATAGTCGATTTACTTAATTTTGCAGTTAATCAGGACAACGATGCCTTTTTATTGGAATATTTTAGTCAACACTGGTCGGTTGCTCGCAAGGTGTGTAGCAATTTTTTCGATTTTACAATTTTTTATGGTAAAATTTATTTTTTTATTGATTATTAGAAACTGCAACCTCCTTATGAAAAGCCTGGCGATGTTCTTCTTGCTTTGGCATTTTCTTGTAGATTTCAATTTTAACTTTTTGGTTATACTTTAACGCTTTCTTGTTTTTTGTTAGCGGCGCGAAACGATAATTTTCTTCTCTCCGCTCTTAAGAAAATCCCGATTGAATCAACGTTGAAGCTTCTGCGTTTTGCCGTTTGCTGGATTCGTCGGTTTTTTTAAAATTTTTTTTTAACTTATTTTTAATTTATTTTAATTCTTTAAATTACTTTCTTAAAATTTTAACTCCTTATAATTTGTAAAACTTTTTTTTTTTTAGTTACGCAAGTAATGAAGAGCGGGTAGCTAAAAAGTTAACGGCGGCATTGCGGGCTCCTTCGTATCTTCAAGTACTGGACTGGTTGGCTGTCCTTTTAGATTCGCATCTTCCCCGGCTGGTCCTCTTCGCAGAGACGCGCCAGTGTCTTCTAGAAATCGCAGGCGTTGTTACTTGCGAGCTTAAAATTTTAGCAGGACTTTTGGTTTTTTTTTTAATTTTAAATATAATTTTTTATTTTTTAATTTTTTTCAGGATCTTATGGATTTTTGCTTCAGTTTGAAAGCAAGATTAAATTGACTACTTTAAAAGTTCCACTGTATAGTGTTGAAATTTTACATCTTTAAAAATTTCGAGATTTGGCCTTCGGTTTACTGATTTTTTAAGTTTTAACAATTTGAACTTCTAAGGAGAATATTTATTAATAATTGTTTTATTAACATTTTTGTATAGTCACATTTTCAAATAAATTTTTATTCAAGTTGATAAATTTATTGGGTGCTTTCCGTAATTAGTTGAACATTTGAATTTTTTTAAGAGAAAATCTAGCATCCTTTTTTGGTTCTTTCGATTTTTTTAATGTTTGTTAGTCCACGCAAATTTTTGCATTCCCTGCGTTTAATGCTTTTAATTTTAAGAGGCATTTTTAATCTCATCTTTTTTGCAATAAATTAATTGGAGGCTTTTCAAAGTAATTAAAAATATAATTATACGTTTATTTGTTTTAAACGATTTGCACTTTTTTAATTTCGACGCGATTTTCAAGTTTTCATTATAATAAATTTGTAGCGTTAGCATAAACATTTGGAAGGCTGCTTGCATCTCTCTTGTTTATTAAACCTTTTTAAATAAATGGATGGAAGATTTATTTTTTAAATTACTTTGCGTTGGAATTAATTTTTAGTTTTTATAGTAATAAGTCAAATCTTAGAGTTTTATTAGAAAGTGGAAGTAATTATTACAACTGTAGCTTTAGGTAACGCCAGTTATTTGCATTTGTTGTGTTTACCCTCACACTTGGTATAATTAAACCTTAGTGATCAACATAATAAAGGACGAGTAGTTTTATCGAAGGTGCAGTAGCGGTCGACACGCCCTCCCCGGGGACCAAAACCAAGAGGGCTGTTCCTTATCATTAAAAAGGGCTTATATACTTTTACGAAATAAAAAAATTAAATTGGATTTGTACGCGTCTAAATCTGGCATCGGCAATTTATAACTTGGTACTAGTACACATCCTAACTGCACACGTCTATAAAAACTTTGAAGAATTTTTTTGTAATTTTAAGTTTAGTTCCCTATAATTCAGTTGAATTTAAAAGTTAGTCAGTGAAGGTCGTCAGCATCCAAGAATATCATTAATTTAAGTTTAAAACTTGCAATAAAGATCAACATGCAATAAAAAAACTTTATCTCTGAACCAACTCGTTGAAACTTTATGTTATTCAGTATTGTGCTTATATGCCATATCTCTTATATGCGTTATAAAAAAATAGTTCTTAATACTATAAAAAAGTTAATTAAGACTAGTAATCGGTCCCGAATTAGATAGATAATAAAAAGTGTTCACTTGGAATTAAAATATATTCATTGTATATAATATTTCTTTATATAAGCAGTTAATACAAATAACATCTATTAATAGATGCGTTTATTTACATTTGTTTCTAATAATGATTGCAGTAGGATTTGCAACATTAATAAAAATATTAATAATTTTTATACTTACAGTGTGGTATTATTGACACAAGAATAAAAATAATATTTCAATTATAAAGCGATTTTCTACAAAAATTCTTCTAGTAAAGTGCACAAGAATTTTTCACATATAAATTAGTATTTCTAGCATTTAAAAGCGTTTTTCTATTAAATATTTTTTTATTTATAAGTACTGGAGAAATGGCAATTCATTTGATTTCTATAAAATGAAAGGACTTTATGATTATATTTTAACTTAAACGTGTGAAAATCTTGCAACAAACATTATTTCTATCTTGTAAAAGCATTTCTCCATAAAAATTTTTATTTAAAAGAGCTAAAAATTTTTGTAACATTTGTAAAAATAGTTTATTTTTCAGAAAAGAAAACCTTTTTTAGTTAAAAGTGTAGTAAAAGTTGCAATCACAACGTACTTTTTCTTACCCCACGAGGCGCTCACGAGTTCATTTGTAAACTTGACCCGGCTTTCACAAGTTTATTAGTACAGTTTTACTAAATAAAATTATCATTGCAATAATGACTGACCAACCTTTTCGAGTTGTACTTCAACCTTTATTTTTAGATGATCTTAAGCTTTCAACAAGAGTAAAAGTTCGTCCTTTAGTTTTGTTAAGTATTATTGATTTCTATTCCCGACGAGCTCCTACTCAGGAAAGAGTTATAGGGACGCTGCTTGGGCATAAATTAGAAAATGAAGTGACTGTAACTAAATGTTTTATGGTCCCTCACAGTGAAACTGAACATGAGGTTGGAATTCATTATAGTGTTAAAAATTAAATTTCATATAGACCCTTATCATAGTCTCGTAAGAATGATATGCACCATATTCAAAGAATTTGAGATTGTTTTACTACTGAAACATTGATTTATTTACTTGCTTGCTTTCTTTTTTGGCAGAATTTTTAAGCGTGTTAGAAAATTTTTTCTAAGTTAACTGTTTATATATAGGTGGCTGTAAATATGGAATTTCAAACGAAGTTTTATGAGCTTCATAAAAAAGTTAACCCTAAAGAAGTGATAGTGGGCTGGTAACTTTTATTAAAATTTTTTTTAGTAATATTTCATCTAGATTCAAATTTTTGTCGCTATTTTTTTAATTTTATAAAAGTAAAACAATTCAGTTTATTAGTTTTCTGTTTACTTTCAAAGGTTTGCCTCCGGCGACAAAATTAACGATTATTCTCTGCTTATTCACGAATTTTATACCAATCTTTGCTGCGATCCCGTCCATTTAACTATTGATGTAATGCTTACTAACGGAGACATGTCTATTAAAAGCTACCAGACCATGAAATTTGGACAATTAAATTCCGAGTCGAACGTTGGAACCGCTTTTTATTCTCTAGACACCACAGTTATATATGTTCGTTATTTAACAAACTTTTATAATTTCTATAAATTTAACTTAAATTTTCTCTAATTTTTTACTTTAGGCCGAGAATGAAGCTATTGCCGTTGACATGATGCAAAAAAATACTGATACGGTTAATCCGTTTTCTATTATGACCGATAAGAATCATCTTAAATCAGCTCTTTCGGAATTGTTAAAGCTAATAACTCGCGTCACAACTTATGTTAAAAGGGCTTTAGATGGTGCAATTTATTATATAATTTAATTTATATACTAAAAAGATTAATTAATTTCTATTTATCGTAATTTTCCCTAAATTTTATATTCATATATTTATAAAAAGTAATCAATTTTAAATTTTAGGAAAATTACGTTTGGAAAATTTATATTATTTTTTTTAAAAATTTGAATTTATAAAATATAGTATTCTTTTTAATAATAATCTTACTTTCTTTTATTTAAAAAAATGATTATATTTTTGGTCAATATATTCTGAAATCATATTCTTTCTTTTTTAAAAAAAATTAATTTTTTTTAATTCAGGATAAATTTCTTCTGACATTTTATATTCTTAATTTTATTAAAAGAAGTTAATTAACTTATAATTTTAGGGGTAATACCTTTTTGAATTTCTATATTAATTTATAAAACAAAAAATTAATTTTTTTAATTTTAGGCAGAGTATCTTATTCTTAAATTTGGGAAAATTTCTTTCTGATATTTTATAATTTTGAATTTAGGAGAAATATTTTTCATAATTTATATTCTCAATTTTACAAAATAATAGTTAATATTTGATTATGGAACTATTTTTTTTTAAAAAAAAATACGTTTTTCAATATAGAAAAAATTCTTTGCATTATAACCTTAACTTTTCTTTAAATTAATTAATTTTTAAATTTAGGGGAAATACCTTCTGATAAACAAATAAGCCATATTTTGTGGGACATTATTTCCACTATTCCCGACGTCGACACTGAAACTTTTGATAAACTTTTCAATAATAATTTGCATGACATGCTTATGGTCATGTTTTTGACCAACCTCACTAGAACCCAACTCAAAATCGCTGACAGACTCTATATAGCTCTATAAATTTCTATACCAATTTCTTGAATTTCTCCTGATCGACCGAATTTGAATTCTTTTCTCGTTTTTCTAATTTTATATAGAAATAAAAGTTGAATTATAACGGATTTATTAATAAAAGATTAATCATTTTGAGTAATTATACTTTTTTTTACTAGTTACTATTATTAATTTTAAGAGAAAGTTGTATTATATATAAATTTATTTATAAAAAGATTATATATATTAATAATTTTTTTAACCTTTTATTTTTAATTAACAAATTTTTTTGGTATTTATATACGAAACTTGATAATATAAAAAGATTATAAACTTTGAATAGTTATTTTACTTATACTTGATAGCGAAAGTAGCAATACATATGAATCTTGAAAGGAATATATTCTTTAATCAATTATCTTATTTTTATATAAACGGAAGTTGCCTCATATAAACTTGTTGATAAAAAGATTATTAACTTTGATTTAATAAATTTTTTTAACAAGTATTTTAAAAGAAAAGTTGTATTATATACGAAACTTGGTTATAAAAAAGTTTTATTATTTCGAATAATTATACCTTCGTTAACAATTTACTGTTAATTTTTCTTGGGAGTTGTAATGTTTACGAAACCTGTATATAATTTATAAATAAATTTACCTTACCTTAAACATTTTACTTTTAATTAAAAATGAAAGTTGTCTTGTGTACGTTACTCCTTGATAAAAAGATTAATTTGTTTGATTTAATTTACCTTTTTTTTTAACAATTCTCTATTATTTTTACACGCCAGTTGTATTGTATACGAAAACTTTAATTAAAAATTATTTTGAGAAGTATACTTTTTACTAAACATTTTACTTTTACTACAATTGAAGGTTGTATCATATATGGAAATCCTTATAAAAAAGTTAATTATTAAAACTATTTATACCTTTTATAACAGTTTACTAACAGTTTTACTTGTAAGTTTTAAAAAAATATACAAAACTTTTTAAAGAAAAGTTAAAAATTCTTATTAACTATAACTTTGTATGCTTATAATTAAAAAATAAAAGTTGTATTTTATACAAAACTCGTTAATAAATAGTTCACTTATATTTTTTTTTGAACGTTTTACTTTTGTTCTACTGGCCTATATGAGAAAGCAGAGATCGGAGCTTTAGCCCAAATACTTATAAGTTTTTTATCAAATCTAGGTAATTTTAAGCTACGATTTTTAAATAGTAGCGATAAGAGCGTTGTATAAGATTTAACTGGTGAAAAGCAAGTGGCTAAGTTTGTGGCTGACTTTAATAATATATTTTATGCTTTAAACAATCAATAGCACTTCAGATATAAAACTTAATTTAAGGAATAGTTCCTATGTCAGAGAAGCTTATTTGTTACCGAAATGTTTCCTTCACTAGATACTTGAAAAATAGATGTTAAGCTTAGATATATTTTAGTTAAACTGAGCTTAACTTATTCGTCAAGTTCTTTTATTTTTTATACATTTAACTTTATCTAATTAAAACAAGAAATACAAGTTACAAAAAAAGGTTATAAATTATAGAGTGCTCGTTGGTTTAATTTAGTGTTCGCAAAGATTTAATCCTTACAAGAAAATTTCTAAAGAAATAATTATGAAAAAAAATTAGTTTTTTACATTCATTATCCCCCTCGTTCCAATACTTCTTGTATAATATAGAACACAAATACTTTTAGTCAATGTTATTTAAAATAGTAAAAAAAAAAGAAGGATATATCATTAGCGCTTACAAAAAAGAATGTTCACCGGGGGCAAGCGACTCATTATAGCACTACTTCGCATTTCCTGTGACTTAAGTTATGAGCGGTGCAATTTACGGGGGAGGTAACGAGTACTTCCTTTACTTTGCTTAAAAATAATAGATATATATATTTTTACTTTCTTGTATTACAAAAAAATATGTTTACTTAGCTTTTTTGATATATATAAAAAATATATGTAGACGATGTTGGTGCTTTAGTAGTCGAAGTAGGCAGTTTTCTTACAAAAGCGGGTTATGCAGGAGAGGAGCTTCCCAGTGTTGTGATTCCTTCGTTTGTGGGAGTTAATACGTCTGTAAGCTTTTTTTTTTGATATACATATTTCTGAATAAGTATAGCAAGTTGAACATAATGGTTACTTTAAATTAACTTAAAAGAAATTAGTTACCCCTTTTATTTTTGGCTGTTTAATAGGTAAAAATAAAAATTTTAATAATAATAGAGCGTTGAATAGTTTTCCATTTATACTTTATAGGAAGAAAAAAGGAAATATTATGTTGGAACTAATAAGTTATATGTGCCACGGCCTTCAATGGAAGTAGTTAACCCTGTACATAATGGAGAAAGTAATTCTTATTAATATTTAAGACATTTTGTAAATTAAAATATTGGTAGTTGTTGATTTTGAGGCCTGTGAAGAACTTTTAGATGATCTTTTTAAAAATCAGTTGCGCTGCAATTTAAAGGAACACCCTTTGATGATGGGAGATGAAGTCTGGAGTTCTAGGCATCAAAGAGGTTGTGTTTTTTTTTTAATAATCTTCTCTAACTACGTTAAAAATAATTCTGTAAAGAAAAAATTACTGAACTTTTTTTTGAAAAGTACGAAGTTCCTGCATTTTACTTAATGCGAAAACCAGTCTTGAGCGCGTATCTTTATACTTTATGTAGAATTTTTCATTTTTAATTTTTTTTTTAGTTTCTCCTTCGGAAGATCGGCAGCAGTCGTCCTTGATATCGGCTATTCGGGCGCGAGTGCCTCTCCCGTCTTTGACGGCTTTGTCTTAAATAAAGGCAGATTGCATGCCTTTTTTCATCCTTCTTATCTTAAAAAAATTATATTTTTGTAGGCGTCAAGAGGAGCCCACTTGGTGGACGTTGGCTTTTTGAATTGTGCTCTCAAGCAATCAGCCGTAAAGGGATAGATCTAATTCCTCGTTATAAGATTCTTAAAAAAGTGAATCTCTTTTATTTTATTGTTTCGCAAATTTTTATTGCTTTTTAAATTTTTTTAAAGGAGCCTTACGAAGATGCGAAGGGAAAACGGCAAAAGTTTGTCCCGTCCAATTTGCAAATGACGTCTTCTTTTGATGCTCTTTGTATTATGGTGGGGCCAGTATGTGTTTATCTTAATATAATGTAGTGAATTATAAAATTATCAGAACGAATGTGATGATTTTTATAAGACCATTTGTCAAGTGTCCGACGCTCCGCTTAAGGAAAGGTGACACTTTTTCGTATAGTAGTTAAAATAATTTTAATGTAATTTATTTATGAATTTAAAATTTAATTTTTAACGAATTTACAGCGGATTACAACATATTCCAACGCTCGCATATGAATTTTGCACCGGAACAAAAGCCTTTTTTGGTGCTGAGCGGTTTGCGATTCCCGAATCCCTTTTTTCACCACCGCCTGTTAAAAAAGCTAAATTATTATTATATATATATATATGACCTCTTTTATTATTTAGGCTGCAACTGGAAGCGAATCTAACACGGATTTATTTTCCGTAAATTATTATACGAAATTTATACTTTTTCTGTACTAAATTCGTTGAGATTTTAACAGCTTATAGCCAACAGTGTGGAGAGCTGCGACGTCGATGTTCGTGCAATCCTTCTAAGCAACATTATAGTAACGGGCGGCGTTTCTCTTACGAGTGGCCTTGTAGATCGGCTCAACCGTCAATTGCTCAGGAACTCCAGTGATGTAGTTTTTTTTCAATTTAATAAAAGTTCTAAATTAAAGAAATTGTTTTAATTTTTTAATTTTGTGTGCTTTCAATTTTTATAAATTATAGGGAAAATTGAAAGTTCTCGCTGTACAAACGAACTCAGAGCGCCAGTTTAGTTCATGGATCGGCGGATCTATACTTGCCTCGTTGGGCGCTTTCCAGCAAAAGTGGATTAGCAAAGTTGAATACTCCGATTTAGGGAAGGTCTTCATTTATTTCTGGTTTATATAAATTTTATATTATTTTATAATTACAAATTTTAGGATTTGGTGGAGAAAAGATGCTTGTGATTTTAAATCATTGAAAATTGAATTGTTGAGACTTGAAGTTTAAAAATAAAAAATTAAAGTTTTACTCTATTTAGTTTTTATTTAGTTTATTACTTTGACCTTAAATTTTTCAGTTAATTTTTTTAAATACCAATTTTTTTGATTTCTATTTTTGTTTAAAAAAATTTCACCCCTAGAGAATCGAAAGAGATCATCTTATAGTCTCTATTATTTAATCTAAATATGTACATTTAAATAGAATTTAAACATTAAGAATTTCCTAAATACGAACAATCATGCTAGTAAAACGAATTAAATGGGACATTTAATAAAATCAAGGCTAAGTTTTTTTCTTGAATTTTTATTCTATTATCAATTATTATATTGGATTTAGTGTTTAGAGGATCAACAATCCACTTCTAAATCGTATTCCTCGTAAATTTTTTTAGTGGTGACTCCTTTTATTTCAGCTAATAAAAATCACAGTAGTGAAGAAAATGCATAAACGTTTAAGAACGCTCACCAATTGTACCGAGAAGTAACTGTCCTACATCTTTAATCTCGTTGTACTGATGCAAAAGTGTTATATACTCTGAAAGCTCGCTATCATCGTACCTGATAGTAACTGTGTTATTAGTAACTTTGTATTAAAAAAACTATCGCTAGGATTAAAAACTCAGATTTTAAAGCGTTGATCTTTTCATCAAGTTCTTCAAGTTCATTTTCTATAATTTTGATATCCTGCTTAAATAAATTATCGTTGAAAGTAATAAATTCAAAACAGGAAGCCGTAGAGAATAGAGCGACCTCTTCTAAGTTTAAAGGGGAGCCGCCGCTGTTTAATAATAGTTATAAGAAAATATTGTTAAAAACAGTATCAAAAGTAAAGCACTTGCTAAATTAAAAATTGTACAAAATGTAACTAATAAGCTAGTATAAATGTTCTTTTTTAAAAGCAACAGTACTACAATACCAACTTCGACGGGGTGTGGAAAACGGTTTGCTCAAAGAAGGAGATTGAATAGAGCGTCTTCTTTTTATCGAGTTTTTACAACCGGACGATAAACGTTTACTCGCACTATTTTCAATAGTTTGAAGCGACTCTTGCATAACAAGAAACCCAAGGGGTGGTCACTATGAAAAATGAGGCTGCTTGAGGGTCTGATATTTACCTGTGGTGCGCATTTTCCTTAAGTACGGGCTATTTTTTACAACTCTTATCGTGTAGTTGAGAAGTTATACAAAGATTTTTCTTTATTGGTTTCTATACACTCGAATAAATTATACAAAAATAATTCATATATTTCTTATAATTCTTATAACAAGCACTCCTTTCTACTACAAAAAGTTCACCAAAGAAACTATTTATTTGTATTTGGTATTATCTGGTGCACGATAGAGTTGATATAAACTAATTTTTTAAGCTCTTAATAGAGTGATAGCGTAAAAATAGAATTTTTTGCTTAAATCAAAGCAATAATATTTATACTTATAGTTCTAATTTTTATATAAAACAAAGCTTCTGCCAGTGACTAACTAATCTGTAATTAATGAGCCGTCCATAGGTGGTGAGAACAAAGTGTTGACTTGGAAAACGGTGGTTTTAAATAAAACCATGGCGTACCCGTTAAAACGGGTAATTGTTAATTGGCAGTATGTAAAACACACAGAGGAGTCGCTTTATGCAAACACAAGTTTCCTTTTGGCAAAAAGAGAGGATACAATGTTTGAGCCGCCACCGTAACAGCTTACCGTCAATGCTGACCCCTATGATTTCGCCTAGTAACCTACAGGTTAGCGGTAGTGATGGCGAGTGCGTTTCCTCGGGTCAAATAGAGCCTGCTTTCTCCCATTAACCTTAATGTTTAAACAAGCGTGACTAAGTAGCGCTGCAGGCAATTAGGCTAGCGGACTTTACAAAGAGTAATTCGCCGTAACTTCTGCATGTAAGACAATACACGAGTGAAGGTTGTCGAACCATGGCACGTCGCTCTTATATAAGGCATAGAGTAGGGGTATAAGGGAAGATTCTCTTTAGTCCCCTGCTGTTAGTACTTCTTACAGTGAGTGCGATCGCGTACATGGGATACGATCCCAGCGGTAAGCTTTGAGCATTTGTAATCACAAAGGAGTAAGGGTTAAAGTCGCATGGATGAAGCGTTTTTTTTTCTTCTGTTCTCTCCCTTCTTAACTGTTGTTTTTTTAATAATTCTATTACTTAACGCTAAGAAAAAGTATACTTTGTTTATTAAATTATCTCGGTAAGTTATTATACACAGGAAAGACCCAGTCCACATACAATAGGCAACCTAGTCCAAGAAAAGAGAGAGAAAAAAAAAACATGGTCATGCATGTAACTTTTTTTCTTCCTCTCTCCAGTAGTTTATACAATGTTACAAGCCAAACTTTCCTTTGTGACAAACTCGGTCTAAAGCTTTTCGGTATCCGAAAAGACGGCTCTATAGCCGAAGCCACGGTCCGGCTATAATGGCAAATGAAAAACGCGTTTTGGAATGCCCTTGCCGAAATGCAAACAGAAACTGACAGGGCATGGCTTCTTGCGTAAAGCGGCGCAGCATGGTGGCCTTAGCTATTTTCCTAGCTCATGATAAGAGGTTGATAGGCTATTACTCGTTTGGCTTGGGGGCTAACTCGATTTTCACGGAAACTTTAACATAAAAGTTTTAGCGGGGCGATTAGTTGCGTTAAAATAATGGCGTCTGTGTGGAAATATACGTGATTCTAGGTTATTTTTAAAATTCGACAAAACCGTTCTCTTATAAAATCTGTTTATACAAACATACAACAAGCACAGAAAATTCAGTTAAACAGTCAGTCAGGGCAATATTTATATATATAATAATTTTTTTCGCACCCCCCATATGCAAAATTAATCCGCAGATCAAAACTAAAAATGTTATAAGGACTTTTAAACAAGCTTATAAAAACATATTTATTATAAAATAGAACCAACTTCTACAAAAATATATAAATTACTAATGTTAACTACCATTCATTGTTGATTAGTTACAATTTATCTCAAACAGTAAATGTAGCTTCTGCTGCCCTTATAATTGAAGAACAGTGGCACATTGCTCTATTCTATAAAATTTTTGAAAGCCAGCATTTATGTTTACTTTGCTAGTGTTAGAGCTGGTTCGTTTAACAATTACTATTAAAAACTAAAAGTAAATTAATGAGTTATAAGCTTTACAATATAGCAAGTCATAGGCCTTTTCGTAATAGTAAACATAAAAATTTATTTTTAAGATCTATTAGTCATAGTGCCATATTTTATTTTTACGTTACGTTTAAACTCTTTCATATTCAAGAAGGTTCTCCTTCAACCACGGCTAATCTCTTTGAAAAAAGTCTTATAAAAGATTTACAAAACAAAAAATTGTTAAAGCATCAAGTTCATGGAACTCAATTTTATGAATTTCTTAATCCAAAAGTGGATCTGACCGAGTTGAATATGAAAAGGGAAGACGATTTTTTAAAGAAAGTTAGAGAGAATTTACGTTTACAGGGGAAGAAAAACATACTTGGGAAAAAGCTTATATGCTCATACACTTTTGAAGAAATGCTTGTTTTAAAAAATTCTCAACAGAAATACTTAAAGAAAGCTGAAAAATCTAATATCGGTTTCACTTTTTTAAATAGTAACGTTCATAGTAGGTCAGTTTTTTATAAATACAACTCGATAACATGTGTTTATCTTTATTTATAAAAATCTACTGACATCTTAGTTTAGCACGGGCTCGCTATTATTTTTTGGATGTCGCCGTGGCCAATATACATAAGTATGAAGAGCTTCAAGAACATAATATTCCCTTGGTTTGCTTCACCTCTTTAAAATTTGTGTTTTTGTCATACACCTACTTGAACATGCCTAAAGAAGCGTTTGACGTCGCATCCATCCTTGTAAATCTTTACGGAAAACCAAAAACCTTTGCCACGTTATTAGCTATTAAACTAGCCAGCGTTGGGCGATCTTTGAAATTCTTTTTATTTTAGCTTTTTACAATTTATTCGCGCTTCCTTCCAAAGAGGCGAGGATCCATTTGTGTACAAAGAAGTTCAAAATTTTATAAGTGAATACTTTTTAAGTGCGGGCTTTTGTAGCATTTTAATAAAAGGTATTTTGAGTCCTTCAAAGCAAAGTCTATTTATTAACCTTTCATTAAATCTCTTGTGTAATATTTATTTTTCTCCCGCGTTTTTAATTTAAGTCTTAACGTAATTTATTAGTATAGTAAGTGCTAAAGTTCGAAGTCAGTACGCATTTTAAATAACAAACACTGTTCTTAAAACCAACATACACCTACTTACAAGTGATTGACGTTATGTAATAAAAATTGCTCTTTAATTTTTATTATTATTTCTTTAAAGGTTATATGAAAAAAGGTTTAACAGAAAGTGGGATTCAAATTTTTGAAAAACTAAAGACAACGTACTTTGTAAATTAATTTTTTTTAGCGTTTACTCTGAATTAGATTAACAGCTACAACGCCCATCCCTCTCTCAACAACAAAGCTCGGCCCTGCACGACCACCTACAACTGTTTAATTCAAGGACTCGTGCAAAATGGGAAATTTGACGCGGCGTATATTTTTTTGAACCTCCCATTCACACCAAAATTAGTTTCGTATTGCAGGCTAAAGTACTACGCGGAACTGAAAGCCAGTAGTTTTCTCTCGCCAGAGTGCGCATCACCGCTGCCTCTGGGGATGCATTTATAATTTTTATTTATCTAGCGCACTCACAGAAAGTCTTATTCTCTTCGGCTACATCCACCATAGAAACTTGGATGAAGCCTTAAAATTTTATGAAGGAATAAAAAATCCCAGCGATTATCATCATTGTTTGATGATCTCTAATTGCGGTAGGTATTACAGTTCTCTTTTAAGCGAGTGAATTTCTTCTTTTTTGCTTTTTTTTTAATAGGTACCAAAAAATAGACCTTTTAAGAAAACTTTCGTATCGTCTTACCCTCGCTAAAGCGCTTAATGAAAAAGTTAACACTCAAATTTTAATCGGCATGTTTTTCTTATGTAATTCTTCCATAATTTTTTAAATATTTTTTAAATTTTACAGCGTTTTGGAAAAATAAAGAATTTAAGGAGGTCGAAGTTCGTTACCAACAAATGAAAGATGATGGAATGCACTTGCATCCCTTTAACTCTTCTTTTGACTTGGCTACTTATTTCCATCAAAAACTAAAACAAAATTCGCCAAGTCTCGGAGAGGAGTCTGACATGGAATTTAAATTTTCTTTGGAACTTCTGCGCTCTACAGCATACTTTTTTCAATTTGTATACACGCAGCACTCGGAAATAAACAGCGCCAGTCGTGTTGGTAGTGTTCGTGATAAATTCAATAATCCGAAGATGATGATAACTTTGCGATGGTGTATCAAGCAACTATTAAAAAGGTATTCTGCGTAGATTTTCCCCGTGATCAAGTTTTGATTCATTCCCTGAGGCAGTGACGAGGACGTTGATCGACTTTGTAGAAGAGTAAAGTACATCAACGAGGAAGAATCGAGAATCCGACAAACAAATGCGCCATCGCTTGAGTTATTGGACAACAAATTGCTTGTGTCGCTGATCGCCACTTGTATCTGCCGCAGCCGCCCTGACGCTGCTCTAGACATTGCGAGAATCTTAACTGATTCCCTCAGCGGCTACGATCCCGGCGTGGTAACGGGTGAGAGTAGCCCAGCAGTGTTTTGTGATAAATTCAAGAATACGTTGTTAGTCAACCTATCGAAGATTATAGAAGATTGTATAGACAAAGGATTGAGCGACGATCTGGCTCAATTTTTTAATTATTTTTTTCCCTTTCTATTAAGTGTAACTGAGAATCATCAAACATTGGAAAGTTGCAATGCAGAAAAGTTAAAAAGAAAGTCAGTCTTAAAAAGAATCTTTGAAAAGGAATCTGAAAACACTTCAAGCACAGTGGATTTTATAATTTATGACAGCGTCCACTTCGCTTTAAGCGAATGCAAAAACAAAGGAAGTGAAAAATTAGCAGACGACTTTTTTAAAAAACTGAAATTCTAAGTCAACTAATTTTTTTTAACAAAAAAGTATAATTTATTTTCTTCTAAAAATTACTGCTAAAAGTCAAAAACAAGAAAGCCAGAAAAGAAATTTAAGTGTATAGACTACAAGACTACATACTTTCCGCCAGACCAACTGGAAAGTATATGAACTTGAAATTTTGACATTTTTACGCAAAATAACTTCTAAATATTATATAATATAAATAATAATATAAAAGGTTAAAAAATAAAGTACTAAAATCTGCGACTGCTCGGGTTTAATTAAATCTCCTTTTGAGCAAACTTGAAAATCTTTTTCTAAAAATAATTTTCCAGCTTTTAAGCAAGCAGGAAGTCCTAATTTACGAAGTTGAAATTCCATACTAGCCGGAAGTTGTTCAAGTGGGCCTTCACTTAACATGAAGTCTTCAGTGGCTATGTTTCCGCTCCTGCCAATATCGACAGTGAGCTAGCCATAAATTTGATAGTTATTACGGTGAATATGCCTAGGGTAATCCGGGAAAGTATTTTTTTCAAAAAATTCTTTGACTTCTTCCAAAGTCCTATTAGTAAAAAGCAAACCAACTTCTCCGTGTAAAGATCCTGACACCTCTCGGGAGTAGATAATAAACAAACAATTAATTTTAGACTACAATGTAATTACTTTATGAAGGTTTTCTTCCAGTTCTTCTTCAATATTACGACCTAAAGCGCGAGCCATTACTTTGTTTTTTCCCATAAAAAATCTGCTGTCGTTCCATATACGTTTCATTCTCTTAAAAAAAGAGCTCCTATAGTTTTCAACTTTAAATATGTGAATGCTTGAAAACTTTCCAACACACTCAGCAAGTGAAGAAGCAACTTTTTTCTTTCCACATAAACCCTTCGCTCGTGTTACATTTATATTATATATTTTATTACGTTTCGACTTGGGCATTTAGTATATTGAATGCCTGCTAAATCAGGTTGCCTAACACTCCTAGTAGGATAAGAAATCCTGCCTAACACGTGACCGGTTGCCGGTTAATTTAAGTTATGAATCACGTGTAATAATTATGTAGGATACACAAATGGTAGTTAATTTTAAATTTTATTTAAAATATTTACAGGAAGAATAATGTTATTATGGTAAGGCTATGTGCACAATTTAGCTAATTTTTCTTTTTTATAGTGTGGCATATTTAAAAAAATGGCCTGTTCCACTTGTCGAAATTCGCAATCTTTATAGAATAAATTTAAATTGATTCGAGAAATCCCTTTTTAAGTAGTTACCCACGTCGAAGGTAACTCTTTTTTCCAAGAGGACAAAAGATTGTAACCGCGCATACACGAGAGGTTAATTTTGCTATAGCTGCAACTATAGAAAGTGAGGGTTAAGGGTTAGGGTGATTATATATAAGTCACATGGAGGACAGTTTTTTATGACTTTCCCCTATCTTTCTCTCATGTTGTTTTAGTTTGCCCTCTGTATAAGAACTGAATCTATCTTGTGTCTAGTAATATACGGGATAGTTTAATAAATAATTTATATAATTTATTAGTGTTAAATAATATTTATTATACTTGTATAACTCACTTATCATACAGTGTTAACGCCAGAAAAAGATATAACATATCTGAAAATTCAAAACTAGTTTTCTGCATCTCCATTAAACCGCTTATCATCTAGTTCGTGGGGAAGGGGGCGTGTAGACTTCAGACGGTATAGAAAAAACCCGCTGCTTGCTACCAACTAGAACCAATATACTGCTTAATTTAATTTTCTATCTGGGTAATGTCGTGGTTAAGTATTGAGCCATCTTAGATATGTTCGATAGCATAAAGCAAGTCAGGTTGATAACATGATATTTTGTTTTTGCGTATAGGCAATCTTAAGTAAATTTTTTTTGGTGAAAGAGCAGTTCATATAGTAAGTTATCGTAAAGCGCTTTGGCGGACAAGTGCATTAGCTCAATATTGTAAACAACGCTAACTCAAACAAAATCGCGATTCGTCTAATAGTATGGTTGCCTATGGCTCTAGAATATTGGACATATAAATTGCATTAAGGATAAGTGTAAGTAAAGAATCATTAGGCACTCTAGCTCTTTGAGGTTGAACAAGCGTTATTAATTCTTTACATTTCACCGTCTATGACTTAATCAAAAATTATTGAGGAAAATATATATATATATGTTTTCATTGTAGACATGTTCGATAAAAAAAACCGCCCACGTCGGTCTCTCCATATAAAAATTTTCAATAGTATGCTTTCAAACCTTAGAAGCCATTTTAAATTTAACTTTGGTATAATTTGGCTCAGTCTACATATATTCTTAGTTTTTTCAATACTACCGTCTCAGTAATCTTTCTGAAGCACAAGAACTAGACAATAGGACGATAGCTCTTAGCACTATAAATGGTTCGCGCATTTGCGGTTCAAAGGTTATTAGAGTAGTTGAATTTATAAATGGAAATATGGTGTTACCATATATAAAATAAATACAGTTAACTTCAGAAATGTTTTTAGCTCAAAGGATGCTTTACCTACAGAATTGAATGCCTTGTTAGTTAAGGTAGAACAGGCAAGGTGTTATTTTATTCGTCTATGTTAGTTAGCTCGTTAGTGGGAAATATATAATAATGTAGGTAAATAAGTGTTCAACGCTATTTTTATAGTAAGGTCAACAACTCTGGTCAAAAAGCAACAAACCGTAAAGTAATTAAAAAAAGGCTTCTGCTTTTTCCTGGTCCTCATAAGCGACGGCTTTCGTTAATCAATAATGATTAACCATTTGAATTGCTTCCAACTAGCTAATAGAATTCTTGGTTCTTGTTGTCTTCCAGATTTTTAATTCCGGACTGCACATGCAAAAAATTAACCATTTGATTTAATAATTTTATATATTCTAGGCTTCTGAAAATTGTTTAAAAGAGAAGTTAAACACAAAAAATAAGTAAGGCTTATTAGGCTGATGATGTAGAACTAGTCTTGTATATCTAATGTCCTTTTCCTTTTGTTATTCTTCTTGGTGTGGCCTATGCATCGTTATTTTTCTAGTCTTTACTATAAACTTATGCTTTGCTTACATATAAACATAACTATCCCCCTTCCCTCCTAATTTATCAGCTAATTACAACTTGAAACTGTCCATGGTTCAGCGGTTGAGGTGAGTCGGCTCCTCCGACTTCTATAAATAACTGAGACCCACTGTATAAACCAATAGATAATAAATATGATAAGATAGGTCTGAACATCGAGAACACTTAATAGCTGGACAATACGCTAATTGAAAAGTGGCGGATAGACTAATGCTTTATGGTACATTCATGCACCTTTACGTTTTTTTTTATACCCATGAAATTTATATACAATTACTTAATCTATTCTCGCAATTTAAGTTAAGTAATTTTACCTTTAGTAACGTTTGGTTAACAAAGGTTGAGAATAATTGCTATTTTCTAAAAGAGCCATGCCATGTTTATTTTCTTAAGAAAAAGGTTACAGTAAAAGATTGATTTAGATCCTCTTCCCTTAGCAAAAACACATTTAATGCTTCCATGACATTTTAAACAATCAAAATTGGACGTCCTATTTTGGATATCTTAAGAAAAAACTAAACTACTGTTCTGGCTTTATACTCTTTACATAATTAAATGATGAACTACTCTATAACAATTTTTTCCAAGCTATTTTGGACCTAGATTAATCCTATTCCCTGGCTCCTGATATATGTAGATGACAATTAAAAAAAACCTTATAGGTATTTTATAGGAGCTTCAGGTTTATACGACTACAGATTTACTGTGAAGTTAAGGGTTGAGGTTAGGGTTATCTACTTTAGTATTGTTTTTGTTTTAATAAATAATGCTTCGAGTTATTATTAACCCTTTAGATCACTAAGTTAGTTTAGTTTATTTATTGGTTTTGGTTCGAGTTTTAATCAGTTACTAAACCTTGATGAGAGAACGATCCACAGCAATGCAGGGAAGCGCGAAAGATGAAATTAATCAGTCGATTTTTATTAAGCATACATCTTTACATATGAGGTCCGCTAATTTAATAATCACCTTTTTTAGATCAAATCAAAAATGACCTAAAAAATGTGCCATAGCATTCTAGCAGCGTTTTAACCCTCCAAGGCTGGCTACCGAGGAATCTTTGAAACGGTTTTTATTTTTAAATTCACCGGTTGACATATTAATTGAGCATGTTCGCCACAATGAGCTTTGGAGTGTTATAATTTAGAGAGAGAGAATTGCTTTCCAGCTCAACAAGAATGCTTTAGTATCTGACTATTTTTTACCCCCCAACCTTTCGTGATGCTCCGAAATGCGACATTTTAATGCCACCTTGACTGTCGAGGTGCAGCTTGAAGCAAATTTTTAAAGACAGCACCCTCATCACGAAGTAGAGTATCCCTAAAGCATCTTTCGTTGAGTCCGTATTATTGCCACCAGCTCCGCTTCCATGGTTAACAAAGTAGTGGTTCATATTAACTTCCGTAAAACAGAAGTATAATTTTATATTGATTTATTCTGTCAAAAACCTTCAGAGAGAATGTCACAGTGCGGCAGTGGTAGGTCCTGTGCTGCTTCGTAACAATTAAGTGTCTAACGCTTAATGAGTTATTAAAGAGTTAGCTATAGTAGGGCTACTTACGTTTCTAGCAACTCTATTCACAGCAAATACCTAACCTATATAGAGCTAAAGACCTACTAACTCCCAAAGTCTGTACAACTAGTCAAATTGAAACTGGTCTGTATGTCGGTGATATATTGCTCTTGATTTCACCAAATTCGTCACTAGTTCGGGTAAAATTCATTCAAAGTATATATACTCGCTTTTCCAAGTATTTTTATATCATTTTTCGCATCAGTAGGGGTAAAAAACAGCGTCGTTTAGATCCTTCCTTCTTGAATGACGTCACAAGCTTTTCCAAATATACACACCGTGACTCGCTAAGAAGGCTCTTCATGTCTGCCCCCGTCCAGCTCCTGTGGGATTGCTTTAAACCAAGGATTGAGTTAAGGAGATGCTTACAAGTCAAGATTGGGAGCGTTGACATTCCATTTTCTTTGGTACTTTTTTTAACATGCACTTTAACTTAAATAGGCTTATAAATTTAACCACATGAATAAACAGTAATATATCCATTTTTCATTACCATTTAACAAGTTTATCAAGATTTGAGCCCTTAATAATTATAAAAAAAATATATAGGCCAGAGAGAATTAAATTTCCCAGTTTATTTAGTTATTAGGACCGCATATCACACCGCACTTATCAATAATGATTGATACTTTTACAGCGAAATTTATATTTAGAAACTTTAGCAATAAAAATTAAGAGAATCCCACTCTATCAATAGTAATTTTACCTATTAAAAAAGATTAATGCTTAAAAACCTGCATTAGCATTACCTTCTAGTTTTAGTTTCAGACTAAAGGCATAAAAGGAGATTGAAATGTTTTTACTTGATCAGCCTTAAACCTCGAACTTCGAGTATATCACACAAAAGCCCAAACTTATCTAATTTCTAACCCTACAAGTAATAACAATTAAAGATGGCAATCATTCCTTCTTGTTCAACGGATTTGCCCCGATATTCTGTAAAAAAAATAATTAAAAGGGATGAAGACGCTCCCTTACTAAGTGGTGAGGCGTTGTTTTTAATTACTAAAAGTTTGGTAAGCACTAACATTTCGTAAAAAGTTTTTTACTAAGTAAAACTTCTTTCCACCAATTTAAATTAACACCATCTCTGAAGCTTACCGACCGTCATGCCTTTTCTATATATTGCTTTTTCAGTTACTAAAAGTTTGTTAGACTTTTACCATTATATTATTTCATAAAAAGTCACTTACCAAGTTAAACTTCTT